CTCGCTTTCATCTTTGGCGGGTCTACGTGGCCAAAGGTGGAGGCAATAGGGGCGCACAAGTTAAACTTATATGCATAAGGATTGGTGGGGGTAGAATAACTCGATTCACCCTTTGGATCTTTCACCCGATCATCATAATCTTGGGTGTAAACGTCCTGACTATCACCACCTAACATATCTCTCGAATGACTATTTGTGGGTAGAGAATGAAGGAGAAACTTACCCAAAAAATTAAGGATTAATAGGTAGTCAAATAGTAGTAGATGTTCCTGGTTAAGAATTTGCAAGCAAAGGTGAAAAATGAAAGTTCACAGGCCGTAATTATTTATAGAGTAAGTTAGTGTAGAATTTGAAGCATCTTACTGCCAAAATCACTCTTAAGGATGGCAACGGGGCGGGGCGAGAGCGGGGAGTATACTCCCCATCCCCGTCCCCGCTACCCCGTCCTCATCCCCGTCCCCGTCCCCGTCCCCGTTCCCGGCGGGGAATTGAAAATATTCCTCATCCCCATCCCCGTGAGAAATTAGGCGGGGACGGGGATTCCCTATTTCCCGTTAACTTTGAGTCAAAATGTTAAATAATTTTAAATTTTAATAATAAAAATTTTAAAATATAAATCCTAATTTCAAAAATTAACTATGTGTGTGTGTAGCATATATTATTTGTATATACAGTACATTGCAATAATACTGCCACTTATATATATAGTTGATTACATATATAAATATAGTATAATGTTAGTGTACTGTTAGTATAAGTGCAATACTGCCACTTATATAGTATACTGTTTTATATATATTGCTACTATTATATTTATTTATTTATTTATTAATTTATTAATTAATTTATTCGGGGACGGGGCGGGGCGGGGAAAGGTGTCCCCGTCCCCGTCCCCGTCCCCGACGGGGAATCACAAATGGTCCCCGTCCCCGTCTCCGTTCCCCGAAAATCTTCCCCATCCCCGTCTTTTTCGGGGCGGGGATCGGGGATCCCCGTCGGGGACGGGGCACATTGCCATCCCTAATCACTTCGCTATATAACTGACTTGTGTCTCGCCAGGATGCATGGTGCTAACACAAAAGTTTGGGCTACATCAACACTTTGCTAGAAATTACCATCTAGCTCATAAGGAGAGATTGAGGTAACCGATCAGTTGGAGATCATACACTTCCCAATCACAACGATCCTCACATCCTTGGAAGTGGAACACTTGTGATGGGATATACCTACTTGGCCAATCTTGTAGCTCGACCTATGCCTCTAAGTATAGGGGCTGGAATCTAAGAGGTCTCATGCTGTATAGGAGAAAAAGCGTTACTCGAGGTTAGGCGCAGTTGGACCGGGCAATGAACTTGATAAGCTAGTCAGGAGAAGGTATATAGAGGCATGATAGTGGATCTACTTAGAGAAATACGACTCTGTGTTTAGTATAAGTAGCTTACTTGACCCCGGTTCATGGATCATCTTGTACTCACTTCACTTGATAGCAATATCCAATCGTCTATAGTCCATCGATCAACCAATCACTATATACCACTTCTATACATTATGTTTCATTTATTACACTATAGCAAACCCCTAGACCCTAGTCTAATATATGCAATATAATCAAAGTCTTTAATTACTTTTACTTACATATCAAAGAAGATTTAGATTAAAATTTAATTATTTTTAAAAATTAAGATATCTAATTACACTTCTCAGAGATGTTTGAAGATGAACTTAATCCTTTTTCCACCACAAAAAGCAAAGGCTTGGGGTATTGATTGAGATTTGAGCTTTAGGATGAGGAATCAAAGCCTGAGATGGGCCTGCCTATGTTCCCATGACACGCTAGTGCCGAGTGCCGAGTGCCAAAAATGACTAATTGTCCTTTTCTTTCTTTTGTACGATTTTAGTAACCTTAATTAGAAAGCAACAAAATAAAATATCTATATTGTCTCAAAAATTATTGTTGCTGTTGTAGCAATGCCTTTATAAGTATTTTTACACCTCAATAGTTAATATGCAGTAATAAACAACTAATTTTACCAAATATTTCTTTTCAAACAGCTAATAAAATCCGTCGATCAAGCCCGTTGACAGAATCTGCTATCTACTATCCGTTGATCCAATCCTTAACTGCTAATCACTATCCGCTAATTGTCAAACAACTTAAACAAGACCTTTATATTATTAACTATTATTTATATATGTTATTTTTCCCTCCTGAATTCTATCACCTTCTAGTGTTCACCTTCTGAGTGGTAATAAAATTCTTTATATACATTAGTTTTCCATTAATTCGTCGATCATACCACAAGTTAAAAATGGAATCTACTCAATAATAAAATACAAATAATGTCCAATCAAATATTACCACATAAGGAGATGAATATTATAAGGTAAATTTGCCAAAGATCTTGTGATCAAGCGGCATGAAGTGACTATCTCAAATGAGAGGTTATGGGTTCAAGTCTTAGTGGGGGTGGTGTTACTCGTTGTGCTTCAATAGATTGCTTGTGTATTAAATAAACTTCATTTGTCAACAATAATTTCTATTTTTAGATTTTCAAAATAAGTATTTATTTATTGTAATTTATCAACATCTACAAACCTAATATATGGTCTAATAAAGTTAGACTCCGTAACGAGAACTACAAAATGTTGGTGTAATTGTTGGATGAAATGAATGATTTATATTCTTTTAATTTTAGTATTTTTTATTTTTATATTTCATACTTTACCATTTCATGAAATTGTAAATTTCCTCCCCTAAATTTTCACTTTATTCCTACACCATTCATCTCTTATGAAATTACAAATTTCCTCCCTCTAATTTCTCCGTACAACCAAATGCCCTGTTAAAGTTAATTTACCAGAATTGATAAATCAAATTAGTGCCCACTTTTTACTCAACTCTTAACTATTTTTCCTATAATTGCAAGATGAATGATTGTAACAGAAAGGAGTTCCATTACAATTTTGTTTAATTTATTCTTTGTTTATTTTATGTAGTTAATTCCATTTTGCTCCTAGATTTATAGGTTTTATTCCACTTTTAATCTTTTTTTTTTTTTTCAAAACATCCCCAGGTGTGATTGCTCACTCTCTGGCCAAGGCTTCTTGCTCGTATACTGGTTGGAAGATGTGGGATGCAGATATTTCTCATTGTATTCGTGATTTGATTTCAATAATAATTTCCTTTGATGATTGTTTTCAAAAAAAAAAAAAAAAAAAAAAAAAACAATATAAAATTTAACGTGGACTATGGTCAATTAATTATAATCACGCATTGAGCATTGATGAAACGGTACGCCTAATTTATAATGTATATTCAACACATATGAGAAACTATATATGGCTATTATCATTGTCTTTTTTAGGAAAGAGGATTTAGTTCTATTTTTGAAGATATACTGCGTCAATGCACTAAAATTGCAGTGAGGCACACCAAGAGACTAGATCAAATCAAGAAATTATTTCTGATGGAAGTGGCAACAAGAGGAAGCATGGAGCCATGGATCACGCCAATTAATAGGATTTTGTGTTACAAAAACTATGCTTAGGGTAAGGTGCGTCCCTCTAAAACTATTATTGCACCAGTTAATCCAACATTTTTGCTACAGGTCATATGTATGCATTCTTGAAATATTTACTTCTATGAAAAATTTGATAATCTTGCATTGATATACTCCAAGATACATAATGATACTTTGATAAATTTTGAAACACTAATTCAAAAATACACATTGAGCATTAGACCATTCTCGCAATGCGCATGTTGTAACTAGTATACTATAAAATTGTATCATCTATGAATTCGTTTGATACTATAACTATTAGATAATTGTACTTTTGAAATAATGATAAATTATTACAGTATCTTTTAGACATTTTAGTCTAAGAAGAATAATATTTTAACTTAACAATAAGAGAATAATTTATATATTTATAATAATTTTACTTTACATTTTACAATATGATTTTTATATTTATTAACTTAATTTTTATTAATATTTGAAATTAATTATGTTGCCATATGATTTTCCAAAAAAGGTAATCATAATCACAATCATATTAAATTAACACACATAATTCTCTAAAAGATGTAATCATAATCATATTAATTAATTTGACGAGAATATCTCTAGATATAACACCCATTTAACATAATTTTTAACGGAGGATCATTTATGGTAAGAAAAATAAAAGTCAAGGTACGTTGTTTGATCGAATTAAAAGTCGAAGACTAAAATAAGTACTAACTCAATAGTTAGAGGACTATTTGTAGCATTAACTCTAATAATAATAATAATAATAATAATAATAATAATAATAATAATAATAATAATAATGGCAAAATTGTCATTTGCTGTGGAATTCAAATTCCATGGGCTGTAAAATTCTAACTCTAAGGGGGACTTGGGGGCCTTATGAATTGCAATTCCATTGAATTGTAATTTTCTCCAATCAAATAATGAAATTGTAAATTTTATGAAATTTGGTTGTAATGGAATACAGTTTCATTCTATCAAAGGGCTCATAAAAAATTTGCAGGGATGAGCAGGGGAGTAGGGGTAGCCGCCCCCACCGTCCTATAGTGGATCCGCCACTGCTTGATGAGAACTGAATATGTATAGTGGATCCGCCACTGCTTGATGAGAACTGAATATGTTGTATATTGATTGAACTAATTACAAAGTTACATAATAAAAGAATATATACAAAGAAAGAATTTCAGAAAGACTATAATAGAAAATCATAACGTAACTCAAATACATAGAGAGTCCTAATATGCTTTTACCTTTGAAAATTACTTAAAAGTATGAATCAAATTTATAAAAGTCTTGATGGAATGTTGATAGTTGATAGCAGTTTACATTGCAACAATTGAGTGGAGAACATTACGAAATCCCCTCTTTACGCTTTACACAGTCAACTTGACTTGGTTTCATTGCAGCGACCAAGCGACTGCGAGTTTATGTAATTTTAGGGAAATTTAATTTAATAAAAAAAAAAAACAAACACTCATTAGTCCTTAATGCCCCGCACTGCACCGCACGGCATTGAAGGATCAAGGATGAGATTTGATTCCTACTATGCTCTGCTACTGATACTGCTCGCTTACTTCAATCTCGCCGCCGGTAAATCCTTTCTCTTCTTTTCTCCTTCGAAAATTCCATGGAAAATCACCACTTTCATCGCCCCAACAAACCCTAATTTTTTGTTTTGTTTTAAATGCATGCGTTTCTTAGCGAATTCTTTACTAATTTTGAATTAGATCGGTTGTTTTTGTGAACTATCGCCGTATAACCTGCAAGTTTTCGAATTTTACTAAATTTAGAAGGTCGGAAGGTGTAAAAGCTGGCATTTTTTAATTCCTGCAAAATGTTGGATATTGTGGCTAACTGGTTTTATATTAGAAGATATTTCTGATTTGTAGTTTGAAATTGGAATGATAAGATTTTTAGGAAACGGAAACCCAGCGCCTGAATTACTCCACTTTGGATTGTCAGTATGTGACTCTCTGCTTATATCGTCTTAGACTCTTAGTGTCAATGGGTAGATTAGAAACTGGGAAATATAGTGATGTTGAGGCTACATGTCTCTTTTTAGAAGTTAAAAGATTTAACGGTTTTGCATCTCGAATGATTCAGGTAAAGATGGAGTTTGTATTTCACCGGGTGGTCGTTTTCCTAGATTTTCCAACGAAGGGAAACCTCCGAGGAAAGTGAACAAAGGGCCAAGAGATTTGAACCTTTGCAGGGTGTTTCGTGGGAAGACTTGCTGTGATGTAACTCAGACGCATCCTACATTGCTGTCCATTAGGAGGTTGGCTTCTACAGGGGAAGCGAGCCAAGAGTGCTTGAACTTGTGGGAAATGTTGGAATGCTCCATCTGTGATCCACACGTTGGTGTCCAACCCGGACCTCCTCTTATATGTTCATCTCTCTGTGATAGAGTATACCAAGCCTGCTCTAACGCATACTTTGCGGTGGATGCGAAGACACAGGTTTGTTCAGTATTCCTTATATGACTGAATTCAATATGGTTTTATACATTTTGGATGTTTTATAACATTTGAGCTAGGTGCTGCTTTGTCAATTGTCATTCCATGACATGTGTCCTGTCTGATTATGATAAAATTGCGTGTCAGGTTCTTGCACCATGTGGGGTAAATGACTTTGTTTGTGGTAGGGCCTCAGAGTGGATCTCTAATGGCACAGAGCTCTGCCGCGTTGCAGGTTTTTCTGTCAAATCCTTGTATGACGATCCAGAAGAAGTTTCTTGTTATGGTGGGAAATCTAATATGGATCACGTAGCTAAATCATGGGGAGTGTCTCACTCCAAACACTCCAAGTTTGCTCAAACTGCTCGGAGTTCAAGTGTGCTAGAAGATTTCAAGCACTGGGTGGAGGACATGCTTTTCAGTGAAAGAGTGTCTTGGGCAATAGGTGGAATGGTTCTCACTGCAGGACTTCTGTTTGTCAGGTAAACCTTCTATTAAGATGACATCTCTTATTCTCTGGGAACGATAGGAAGGTCTGGGGATGGAAATGAATTTCTTGGAAAATACAAATTGCAATATCTACATGCCGGGTGCATTTAAGTGTAATATATTAATGTGCACTTTCCTTTTTTCAATAGTAGTACCAAATATTAACTTTGCTCAGTATCTTGTTCATTTTATCACGTTCTTATGCAGCCAACGCAGAAACCGCAGACAACGCTACAAACAGGCAGCTATACAACGTGCTGCCAAAAAATTGAACTCAAGTTCTCCCCGGGTCAGGGAAGCAAGAAGGCAAGTGGAAGAAAAATAGTGGATTGTTATATTAACGTGTGTTCACAGGTCTAGTTGTAGTTTCTAAAGTTTCTGCTATCCCCACTGCCTTGTTTTGTGTTTTCGTCTCTAACTGCACACACTCATATATATAAAGATTACTCTTTTTTTAGCGAAATCATATGCTTTGTGGTTCTGCCCTAAAGGGCCGTGCCACATAGAGAGGAGTAAGAACAATAAGATTTTCACCTTTTGCTAATTTATCTAACTTTTATGAACACAAAATTAAAGTATCAAAAACTGAAAGAACTCAGTTCAAACGTGGATGTTAATTACAAATACAGTGAAGAAACAAAGGGTGTCAGTAGTAACAACTCGAACATGAACATTTTAAATTCTTGAATACATCTTTATGTTTATGTCATATAAGCATCACTTTCTTTGACATTCTGAGAATGGTAGAAATCCCATGGCCAAAATGGTCTGAATGTTCACGGTTCATGTAGTACAGCTCTCTCCTCAGAGAGGTTGTCGACTAAAAGAGGAAAGAAGAATAATGCTTGTTGTAGTCCCTATTTACTGTGACAGTCTTCTCCATATACAGTTCCTACTTTATCAGGTTCCTCCTATTTTTGGTGGCTGTTCATTTGGAAAACAAGGCAAAGTTGTTAGAGAAAGAACTGAGAAGCAGATATCAAAATCATAAATCCTGGCAGGAGAGTATATATATATATATACTAATTTGTTTCTTCTTGGTGGGGTATACCTTCTTAAGAGGCACCTTTGAATTGGATGATGGTGCTGGCTTTAGTATTGAGAAAGAACACACTAGTTGTTCATCGACGCTTAATAGGGCACCTGCATTGTCAAATTCGCCTCCATAATTTGGAGCTGAAAATATTGTAACAAGTCTTCGTTTCGCGAAGAATTCATATCCATCCTCCACTACCTGCAATGGAAGATGAGAGGGGTGGTTTATAATAGATGGGTGGAATCTGGGATTTGCACCAGATAATAGCCAGCCATACCTGATGGCCTCTGCAAATGAGGTCTAAATCAGTCTTCTCCAAGAACTCTGCAACAGCGTCGGTCCCAAAAGTGCTGGAAACGCCTCGATCACTCTCAGACCAACCATTTATTCTGGGATTGGGGTCGGACCAGAGGAGATCACAGAGCAGACCGCTGTCTGGAACGTCTGTGGGTCGCTCAATCTCCGTGATTTGGTCCAAACAGTTTAGGTCTGGGGAGAGGCCACCATGCATGCATATGATCTTTTCATCAATTAGTGCAGCCACAGGTAAGCAATTGAAGCACTCAGTGAATATCTTCCAAAGCCGCACATTGAACCTCCTCTTACACTCATCATAAAATCCATAAATCCTGTTGATTTTGGCTTCTTCGTGGTTCCCCCTGAGCAGGAACACTTTGTCAGGATACCGCACTTTGTACGCCAGTAACAAGCATATCGTCTCCAGGCTCTGCTTGCCTCGATCAACATAGTCCCCCAGAAACAGATAGTTTGCTTCAGGAGGGTACCCGCTGTACTCGAACATCCTCAATAGGTCTTGGTATTGCCCGTGTATGTCACCTGCATCATCTTCATCTTATCAACACAAAACCCTTTGTTTTTTACCTCCAAATCTCACATTGCACGTTTATATTCATATATTATATACCCCTAACACACCCCTCACAGTGTGCAACTTGATTACTTTTGATGGGCTCCAAACAACATGTGGGCCTCATATGACTTTTGACATGTGGTTGACTCTGATATATAGCAAATTAAAGCATGTGTTTCATTTTAACTAAAAGTCTAAGCTGATAATTGGATTGTATGTTTATACGTCATAGGCTCAACAATGCTAAAAGTGAATTATCTGCACACAAATCCTATAGAATCCACCTTTCACCTTTCTCCAATATATATATATATATATATATATATATATATATATATATATATATATATATATCCCTTTTTGCAATCCTAGCAAGAACGGATGTTTTTCAATTTTGGTGGGCCCATGTCAGAGACCAAAAACCCCTCTTTGTGGAGGTTCTCACCTCTTCTCTCTCCCTCCTCACTTTCTCTCTTCCACTTTAGCCAAATCTTCCTCAAAAACTGAGCAAAAATCACTATTGTGGTTGCTCTTAATATGTTATCTGCACACAAATCCTATAGAATCCACCTTTCACATTTCTCCAATATATATATCCCTTTCTGCAATTACTTGAAAACATACAAATACCTGTACAAATAGGTAATCAGGAGATTGAAAACACCCTAGATCATTTCACATTCTTTGGGCAAGCAGAAATATATATATTAAAAGATTGAGAAGAGAGGAAAAAAAAAAAAGAGGAATATAATACCGCAGATACTGATAGGGGCATGGAGATGAAGGAGAATAGGCTGAGAAAGGAAGATTTGGCGAGCGTTGACGCAAAGTTGGCGGATCTCAGCCTCGGAGAGCTGCACCTGTTTCCCTCCCCTGCCTTCCAATAGCCTCCTTATGATATCATCCAATACCCCAATCTCCATCGTCCCCTCTATTGTCATCGTGCTCATTTTGATCAAATCTTCCTTAAAGAGAGAAAAAAGAGAGAGAGTTTCAAGAAGGTTGTGGAGGTTGAATTGGAATGGCGATGGGAAAAGAAGGGTATTGCTGCTTATGATTGAAGGTAAAGAAAAATGTTGGGTCTGGGGCCATTTGGGCGGGCATGTTGTCAAAATCCCAATGCGAACAACCTCATTATGCGTGCTCTGCTCGTCTCTCCCCCTGCTATTGGTGTTGTTGTATCCATCATTTTTTTGTGATTTGTAATTGTGTGTGCCAGAATATCAGAGATAAATATATATGTTTTGGTATGTATTATGTAAGGATTCAATCTCTACGGTTGAACGCTTCAAATCAAGAAAAGGGGGCAAGTGGGAATTTGTGACTCTTCACTTTAAAGCGCGGGGGCGCGCAATACGTGCGTATTTCTGCTTACTTGCATCTTTTTCTTTACCATTTTCCTTTTTGATAGGGTATACTTCCCCTTTACGTGTCATGTACCTACTCAGTATCTGAAAGGCTCACCGAGAGGGATCACTCTCGGGCATTACCGGTCTCAAAGCCCACCGATCGACCTGGTATGTTGGACTGAGCAGGGCTCGATCAGTAGCAATACCTGATCGTCTTTTGGTTCACCCCAACCATCTTAGGTCAGGATAGACCACCCGACTCTCTCTACTTTGGTCAAACCCAATGGCTACAAAAATGAGGGAGTCAGGAATCTCGGTACACGTGGAGGAATTAGCGAAGCCTCCGACCTTCCCTTGTGTATGGACTCCACGTGTCACACATGATGGGAGATCGACATGTGTTCCCTTCACCTTCCTATAAAAACTGTATTAAATGCTTGTAGGAGGGACTTTTACATCTCTACCCAACATTGTTTAATCAAAATACCTAATTTATTATCAATGTGTGTGTATATCTAAATCATCAAATTCAATCTAATTCATCAAAATACCTAACCCATCAAATTATTTACCTGACTCATCAAATTCAATTTAATTCATCAAACTACATAGTTTATGATAAAAATATATACCTAACTAATCAAATTAAAGTATCTAAATCATCTAAATTCCTATTTCATCAAGTACCTAATTCATCAAAATATCTATTTCAAAAAATATATATATTAAATTCAAAAATAAACATTTATATGCCAAAATTTGAAATAAAATAATAATAATAATTCTTGTCCCATATGTATGCACACATTAATACATAATCATAAAAAATTACCTTAAATTTGTGTGTGTGAGTATATATATATAATCACCGAATTATGTTTTTTTTTTAAGAACATAAAGAAAAATCCAAGAATTCTTGGGAGGAAAAAAACACTCTCAACATGGAGAGAAAAAAGGTTACTAGCGTGATTAAACAATTTCTTGAGATTAAAAACTTTCTATTGGTGAACTATTAAGAATTGGAAGGTTTCGAATCTCAAGTGAACAATTTAGATTGGTGACTCGACTTTTATAATAATTCTTCCAAAAGGTTGAACCCCAACCCTAAGGGCCCCTCACATTCCGACCAGACACAGCACTTGAGAGAATGTACATTACGGTAACTCAACTGAACATGAACCACAGAGGCTAGACCTTTGCTCACTGCACACAAGGAACCCCCCTCACTTTGAGAGGTAACTCAACTGAACATGAACCACAGAGGCTAGACCTTTGCTCACTGCACACAAGGAACCTCCCTCACTTTGAGAGGTAACTCAACTGAACATGAACCACAGAGGCTAGACCTTTGCTCACTGCGCACAAGGAACCCCCCTCACTTTGAGAGGTAACTCAACTGAACATGAACCAAAAGTCTTAAAATTAAAAAGTCTACAAAAGTTCATAACTTTTTGAATACCACGTGACTTTTAAAGACTCTCTAAAAGTCTTAATCGAATACCACACGACTTTTAAAGACTCTTTAAAAATCTTGATTGAATACCGCATGACTTTTAAAGACTCTCTAAAAGTTTGAATTGAATACCCTCAAACTTTTAAAGTTCATAAAAGTCTTTAAAACTCTATGAAAGTCATGATTGAATACACCCCCTTAAGTGAGAGATATTGTTACTCGGATGGAATTACTATAGGGATTTGGACATCAAGACACTAATATTACAACAAAACTCTGTTGGAAAAAATAGCATAAAATGTCATTTTAAGTGGCTATTCTATGGTACAATTATTAGTGGGGTCTACTTTTGATTTGGGTCGAGTAAAAGTGGATTCGGGTTCTTCGTAGTAAGACGAAGAGATTGATATATTGTACGCTCAAAACGGATAATGGATGAATGAGATATTTATTCTCAAAGTAGACCCATTTGAGTTGGAAAAATGAAGGGGAATAGGCTTTAAAGTAGCATTGTCCCACATTGGAATGGGAAGTAGGTTTGCACCACTATTTATACAAGAGCCTTTCTAAAGCTTATTGAATTATATAGAATAATAGTTTTCTTTTGCGGGGTTAGAGTGCAAATCAAATTCCAAAATGAGCCTTGAAAAGCTTAACTTATGTATCATACCAAAAATTAGTTGACCTGTGGGCTAAGTTATGCCAAATTTCGGTATCATACGAATGTCGTCCAAAAAATTAGTTGGTCTTGTAGGCTAAGTTATCCCAAATTTCTGTATCATACAAATGTCGTCCAAAAAATTAGTTGGCTTGCGGGCTAAGTTTTGCCAAATTTCCTTCATCGGCCAACGAGAATCATTGGTCGGGGTGTCAAAGTGGGGCGAAGCCCGCGGGTTAGCCTGCACCCACCCCGCAATGGGGCGGGTTAGGGCCGCAAGAAATTAGGCTCGCGAAAATGCGGACCTAACGGCCATGGTCCGCGGAGGGCCAGAGCCCGCGCGGGTTGCGGGCTGGCCCGCGGGTCAGGCCATATTTAAAAAATAAATAAATTATATATATAATATCTTAATTCTTAGGCAATGTGTAGATCTAACTATCTAAGAGTATGCAGAAGGGGAGAAATCCAATAATTCAATAATTCCTAGAGTACGTAGTTCTTCGGTTCTCCCGTCACCATCCGCCTCCAACTCTATCAAATAATTACTAAAACTAAATTATTAATTCATACATATTTATGAATTACTAAATCGCCTCAAAGTCTAGCAAACATACATATTTATATATGTATTATACACAGACGGGAATTGTAGAGAGAAAATCTAAAGCCGAGAGAAAAATCGAGTGTGCTGTTGAACCCTAGCTTTGATCACCCTTCTACAGTTCTGCTGAAGGCGCGGTATCAATCCGGGAGATTTGGGCGAGGTTTACGGATTTTATGGAAGTTTCCGGTGCCATATTTCAAGCGGTTTTAACATGTTTATATAATATTTAATGTTTTTTTTTTAATTTAAGTGATGGCCCGCGGGCCAGCCCGCATGGGGCGGACTTGGGTTGTATAGTTCCAAGCCCGCGGGATTCGCGGGCCGGCCCGCCAAATAAAAAGCCCGCGGTGGGTAGGGGTGTTCATTCGGTTAACCGAACCATTTTAACCGAACCGAAATTTGCTCTACCGAATTAACCGAACCGAACTTTTTTTCGGTTAACCGATTAACCGAAATTTTTAACCCTAAAATTGAAAATCCTAAAAATAACTCCTAAAATACTAAATTCAATTAAAATAAAATACATATCATAATAAATTCATATCAAAACATACAAAAATAATACCATAAGTCTATAATCCATTTGACTATTTGGGATTTTAGTACATATTATATATTTATATTTAATATTTTATATATATATATATATATATATATATATATATATATATATATATATATATATATATATATTCCAAAATTCGGTTAACCGTTCGGTTAATTCGGTTAACCGACACTTTCGAACCGAATTAACCGTTAACCGAATTTTGGGAAAACCTTTAACCATTCTCCGAACCGAAATATTTCGGTTAAAAAACGGTTAACCGAATTATGTCGGTTCGGTCGGTTAACCAAAATTTCTCCGAAATTTGCACACCCCTAGCGGTGGGGCGGGCTTAATGAGGCGGGCCGGCCCGTATTGACACCCCTAATCATTGGCGACGCGAGTCGTTGTGTCGATTCGGCCAACCAGAATTGTTACCGAGTTGTCGGTTCGGCTCAGCCAAACGATTCGTTGACTGTGGCAGAATCATTAACCTCTCATCTGGACCGTTCAGAGTTTAAATTCGTCAGTTTAGGAATTAATTTCGAATTAATTCCAGAATTAATTCTCACGTTAATAGTCAGCGTTTACAGCGCTTATATAGACTGATTTAATATCAGTGTTGAATGTCATGTTAAATTTTATTAAACCTTCATCTCCTATATAAGTTTTTGGTTGAGCAGGTGGTTAAACACAAAAACAATGAACTAAAATTTGCAGTTGTTTTCCTCTCGAAACTCTGCTCTTCTTCTTCTTGCCATTTGAAGTTCTTCCCACGCTCTAGTTCGCCGGGTTCTAAGTTTTAGTGCTCAAAACTTAGAACTGAAGCGACAAATAAGGTTTTAAGAGAGAGTGCTTCATTCGACTCGTACTATCCACCTATCTGCTTTTGGCCCTGTAGTCGATCCATCGTGTCTTATTGTTTATCAAAAACATAGTATCTATTTAGAATCATGGAATCAACTTAAGGGGGAGGGGCTAGAATCAAATGAAACACAAATAGTCAATATCGCTTCCACTAAGATTCAAACTCACAACCTCCCCTATGAGAGAGCAAATTTGGTGCCATTAGACCACACCATCTTTGACTCCTAACTATACAATTTAATAATTCTTTACATATTTTTTCTTTTAATTGATACTCTATAATTCGTTGATGTCATTACTACTATAAATGAAAAATATTTTCAAACCTACAAAATTTACACACTTTTCACACTTGATATGCCCATTTTTGTAACATTAACTTTTTTTTTTTCCATTTTTTAAATTTCACATATCAATTTATTAAAACTAAATTGTCACACCAAAAATAACAAAAATGTAATAGTTTTGGTAAAAGGGTCTGGCATGGTTTATTGTAAATTACTCCGTATGAATTATGGATAGTCTATGAATATAAATAATTAACGCAATTATTACAAATTATATAGATAATGTAAATTTTTATGCATATTGCATTTCTCAAAGTATTACGAGGGTGATTTGTACGAGATAATTAGGTATGCGCTCGGGCTTCCGATGGATCTTTTCCGTTGCTTTTAAAAGCGACGTCGTTTGCCATTTCAATCCCTCCTTTCACCAGATGGGCCGGGTCTTCTTCTTCCTTTGCTGGCGTTGACTGGTAGTATATGAAGTAAAGGATAATTTGGGCTGAGCCCAGTAGGAATCCAATTCCATTGGGTATCTGAAACGGTGCAAGCCCAAAATTGAGAAGATGTTATTGGGCCAGAGGCCCGTATTATGGACCAACAATCATTATTGTGTGGACCATGGTTCATACAAGTTGTGTGGACCATATTTTGTATACTATAAAATAATGTACATTCATTACAAAAATAATGTACATTGTATTCAGGGGATGTACATTATTTTTATACTGAGTATACATTATATTGTATAATGTACATTCAGTACAAAAATAATGTACATTTGGTATATTTAAAATGTACTTTTTGTTATGGTCCACATAACATTGTGTGGACCATGGTCCACACAATAATTTGCAATGGACCAAAAGGCAAATTATGGTTTACACAGTGCTGTGTGGACCATAACAAAGAGTACATTTTTAATATACTAAAAGTACATTATTCGTGTATTGAATGTACATTATACAAACTAATATACTTTCAGTACTCAAATAATGTAATTTCCATGAATATAGTGTACATTTTTTATGCATTAAATGTATATTATTTGTGTACTGAATGTATATTATTTAATAGTATAATCTACACAGCTGTGTGGACCAAGTTCACACAATAATGATTATGATTGATAGACAAAACAAAGGAGACCCAACTTACTCCTATGTATAGATCCCTTACAAGCATAGCATAAGAAGCCCAAATGCCCCCATTCAACACTTGGAAAAATGAGAGCCAAAATGGCATATACTCCACACTTTTCATTTTTATCACTGTCCTCTGTTCAAATTATAAAAACAAAAAAAAAAATAGAGGTGGTAAATCACAATTTCTTGCTTTAAAGGGTTAGTAATAAATAAAATTAAAATTAAGGACTGTTCAGCAATTAAATCATGTTTTTTTTTTTTTTTTTTTTTTGGAAAAAGAAATTTATACCATTGCGGAAAGAGGAGAAGCATACATGCCAATAGTTAGTCCAGTGCACAGAAGCCCCACCGACATAAGCTTTGTTTTTCCATGTAGCACTGAAAGAGTTACTGCTACCACCGCCCCAAGAAAAGCTACGTTAATGATGCCAACCATTTTCAAAGATCGAATCTGAAATCACATACAAATACTTACATTTATATAATAATGTTGAAATTGATTTCTATAAATCAATGTTGCAAAAGGCGCTAAGCGCAATTTAAAAAGTTTTGAACGAAAAAGCTAATGGAAAAAAAAAAAGTTTTTTTCCCCACAAAACGACATGGTTTTGAACGAAAAATCAATTTAAAAAGTTTCAGCTGATCCAACCGACTTTGCCGACTCGACCGCCTAGACATCTGCCTAGGTGGCTGGCCGACTAGCAACTGCCTGCACCCTTTTTCACCTCGGCCTAAAGGCCTCTAGCACCTAGAAGGCCGCCTAGGCTGATTTTTACTATACTTGTATAAATAAATAAATAATACATGAAAGATGAAATTGGTAAAACCCCAAATAAATATATGAACATACCTTAATGTTTTTAGGAGCGTAAATGAGAAAAAGAGAGACGTAGATGATGTGCAAAACAACACCGGTGCCATTTACTGTCACCACAAGCAAACCACCAGGCTTGAGAAGCCCATAGAACGACCATAAACTCGTGCTCAATAGTGTTGTTATGTATGGAATCCCTTTGAAATTCTCCGTTGATTTCTTCTGCACTATCCGCTTGAACGTTTTTCTAAACACTCATTATTATTATTAAGATCAAACATCAATTTTAGTTCACAAATATTAGTAAAATGGCAGTTTTAGTCTACATGTTTAATTAATACCAATTTTTATTTGCGACTATTTTTTTTGTGCTAAAGTTGATTACGCCGGTCACCTCTCCGGCTAAAACATGTTGGACAGTGTAATTTGTAAGGGTATTTTCATCCATTCATGTATAATATGTCAATTCCATTAATATATCAACGGACAAAAATATGCTTACAAATTACACATTCCGACATGTTTTAGTCGGAAGGATGACTGGCGCGGCATATCAATGTTGTACATGTTACCTTGAGAAAGAGAAAAAAATTAAAATTATAGACTTACACCGGAGCAAGAAACATGAGTATAGATATCACATTCCCTACATTATTTTACCAAAAAAAGAAGAAGAAAGAAGAAGAAAAATGTTTAGAATCATATGTTAGACTATAAGCAAGCATATAGGTAGCCATAATAATCCTTGTTAATAAGACTGACCAATGATGCCAACAATGAAGCTCAAGCTAGCCATGACCGGACCTTCAAGAAATTTAATTAATTTAGCTTGTAAATATATACAATGAAAGAAATGATGAATCTAGTATAGAGAGTTGTCTTGAGATAAATTTAACAATGGGGGAGCTGAGGCATAAAGAGATAGGCAGATGAGATGTCATATGAGAAGAAATAGAAGTTTTGTCACGTTAAAGTATTACTTTTTGTGTAAAATTATTGGGTTAGTTGTTTCCATCAATACTACTAATTAATAATAAAGTGGTTTTACACCTCTAGCTAGCTCTACCAGCTTCCCCTGATCTCATCACTTTTTTAGAAACCCCACATCTTATGCAATGCCATGCATGGTTGAGAATGACGGACGTCTCGTGATCCTCATACCCATAACCCAAAGGGTCAAATTAACTTATAATTATATTCTATCAGTCATTAGAACATTCATGTAACATAATCTAATATATTTATGATTTCGCAATACTACAAAATAGTTCCTAACGAAGAGCAATTCACAGTTATTATTGATGTGTATGTATTGGATAGTTTTACTTTTGTGTAATAGGTCACAAATCACAGAAGAGAGGTAAATTGTATTAAGAAAAAACCCTATTTGACGGGTTCGGTCCAGAGGGCGTTGACAAGAATCGAACGAACACTAATGTTATATTCTACTCACTTAACCACTATATTTTTTTGAGGCAGAAAATTATACTTTTATTCTTTGAGTTGTACAATGATTGTAAATTCATTTTTTTTATGATGTATAGTAGCAACCAATTGTAATCATTGGTGCTCAAAAAATCCTGCCTAAGCATCGATTAATCGGCGCCTAGGCGCTGGCCGATCACCTAACGTATCTTCATAATTAGTGATCTATGCAGCTGACTAGACTTTCCCGAACACTCAAAAATCGTCTAGCGATTTTTTCAATCATGTTGGTGCTTTCAATAATCCCTCTATTAAGGATTATGTTGGTGCTTTCAATAATCCCTCTATTAAGGATTATGTTAAATTTTACGATTGCTTCTCAAAACTTCTAGTTGACTAAGACACATAATGAGATTAAGGTGGTTATTATAATAGTCGTAGCGCAATTGAAGTGGCTAGACGAGGCCATACATACACACATTACAATTTTTACGATTAGAACGGTCTATTTATATTACTCTAACCGCTCCAACAGTAATCAATGTTGTAAAATTGCTAGGGTGCTTTTAAACGATTTCTTATAGCAAGTAATTCTCAAATACTTTTATAAAACACAAATACTCAATAGCATATAATAATATACTTTTAAAATAGTAAAACCAGTACCATTCCAATCAAAATTGGGTCTATGCGATATCTTAAATTAGGTACTTATTAAAAATAATTCCTATATATAAATAATAGTTATTTAAAAAGTTGTGTCAAAATATAAATACTCTATAAGAGTTAATTCTATTTTTTGTCCTAAAATTATAAGTGTGTCATTTTTTATCATAACATCCCTTTTTGGTCCTAGTATTATTATGACATAACCAATTTTGGTCCTTTATCAAAAAATCTTTGTAATTTTGTTAAATACAAGAGCATTTCGCTCTGTTCTTCAATTATGAATTTTAGCAAAAAATAAACATAAAATATATAACGAGTCAACGCACTTTGTATTAAAAAGATCAAAATGTCCTTCTATTTAACGAAATTTCAACGATTTTGTTAATAGAAGACCAAAATTAGTCATGCCACAATAATACTAGGACCAAAAGATGATGTTCTGATAAAAAAGGACTAAAAGTTGACTTCCACCTATAAATCTAGGGCCAAAAATGGAATTAACTCTAATATATATATATATATATATATATATATATATATATATATATATATATATATATATATATATATATATATATATATATATATATATATATATGGGTAATCACACTTTTGGTTCCTCAATTAGTGCCCATTCTGCAATGTCATCCTTAGTTTCCAATTTGAACACATTTGGTCCCTCAATTATTCGACCATTAAGTAGATTTGGTACTTCTGTCTGTATGGCCGTTTAACACCGTTTAAAGCATGGGTAAAAGTGGAATTTCACATAGCATTGTTTATAATAAGTAGGGGAAATCGCACTTTTGGTCCCTCAATTAGTGCACAATCTACAATGTCATCCTTAGTTCTCAATTTGAACACAATTGGTCCCTCAATTATTTGACCATTAAGCAGATTTGGTCCTTCTGTGAGACTATCAGTTTAACTCCATTTAAATCACGGGTATAATTGAAATTTCACATAGCCTTGAATATAATAAGCTAATTTTTTCCCCTTTCTCTGCCCGGTTGTTATTTTCGCCGTCGCAGATGCTCCGCCACCGTCGAGAAATGTCTCGGCATCCACCACTTGCAAGTCCACTCCCTACCCATCTTACTGCCAAACTGTTCTACCCAGCAACAACTCTTCTTCCAATGTCTACGACTATGGCCGATTCTCCGTCTGCAAATCCTTATCCACTGCGCACAAGTTTCTGTCATTGATCCAGAAGTACCTTCGCCGCAATTCCAAGTCGTTAACCACCACCACCGTTGTTCGAGCTCTCAAGGATTGCGAGTTCCTCGCCGATTTAAACATGGATTATCTCTCCAGTTCTTTCAAGACTATCAACGGGACTTCCCGGTATCTCCCGATGTTGGAAGCCGATGACGTGCAAACATTGCTCAGCGCCATTCTCACCAACAGGCTGACGTGTATAGACAGCCTGCAAGTGACGTCGTCAGCTTGGAGCGTTAGGAATGGGATCGTGGAGCTGCTGGCGAACGACACGCAGCTGTTTAGTGTTTCTATGGCTTTGTGCACTAAAGGGTGGGTGCAAAGGAAAAAGAAGGCCGCCGATGTCGGAGCTTGGCGTCCGACCAAGAAATAGCTTGGGTTCTGGAACGGGCGTTTGCCTCTGAAGATGTCGAAACGGACGAAGGCGATTTTCGAGCGAGTTATCCGGAGAAAGCTCCTGCAAACTCAGGAAGATGACCAGGTTCTGGTGACTGACATTGTGGTTGTGAGTCAAGGTGGGAGTGGAAATTTTACCACCATTAATGACGACATTGCCGCTGCTCCCAACAACACTCTGTCTGACGACAACTACTTCGTCGTAAACGTGACTGCCGGCGTGTGCGAGGAATACATCTCCATTGCCAGGAACAAGAAATACTTGATGATGATTGGCGACGGCCTTAACTAGACCATCATCACAGCTATGTTGATGGCTAAACTACTTTCAATTCTTACTCATGTGAAATTTCAATTATACATGTGATTTAAACGGAGTTAAACTGATGGTCTCATAGAAGGACCAAATCTGCTTAATGGTCAAATAATTGAGGGACCAATTGTGTTCAAATTGGGAACTAAGGATGGCATTGCAAATTGGGCACTAATTGAGGGAGCAAAACTACGATTTCCCCTACTTATTATAAACAATGCTATGTGAAATTCCACTTTTACCCATGTTTTAAACGGTGTTAAACGACCATACAGATAGAAGGACCAAATCTGCTTAATGGTTGAATAATTGAGGGACCAAATGTGTTCAAATTGGGAACTAAGGATGACATTGCAGAATGGACACTAATTGAGGGACCAAAAGCGCGATTACCCCTATATATATGTGTGTGTGTGTGTGTGTGTGTGTGTGTGTCCACGATCAAGTGCGAAGGACTTCTCAGTTGAAAAATACGCACAAATCTCAGCCATAAAATTCATTTAGATCTACTGCTCTTTAAAAAAAATACATTTTAAATGAACAAAAACGGTATACTTAAAAGCACAAAAATGTGCATTTGAAGGTCAAAATTATGCACTCGAAAGTATAAATATGTGCAATCGAAGCAATTTATAGTACCAAAAAAGGAAAATTATTCAACTTAAGTAGTGTTATTAAAGATATTGCATGCTCATACCAATCGTTGGTAAATCTCACAAATTTCATTAAAATTTAGTTATCCGTTATTGGAAATAATGGAAGGTAAGGGAGGTGATAATTTAATAAATAAATAAATAAATAATATTTAATTAAACAAAAAAAAAAAAAAAAAAAAAAAAAAGAAACCCCGAATAAAGTTGCAATGGTGCCAAAAACTAGTTTCTACTTACAACAATACAATAATTTCAATGCCAACAACACTCAAGAATTCATAGGTTCAAACTGTGCACAAAGATGATGGATCTTTCATGGGACAAAAATATAAGAAGAATGGGTATCATGATCTTGGCTCATTGAAATTGAGGAAATAGTTCTCATTATATTTCGAATGCTTGATAACCTTCTTGGAGATGTATGTTTACTAGCATTATCTGAAGTCTCCTTATTAAACTCTTCATCTTCATGAACCTCCGCCATTTCAGTTGATATCACCTTACTCGATTTCTTCTTGTAAATCATGTAAATAATAAGTTGAGCTATGCCCGACATGATTCCAATTACATTTGGCACCTACATACAATTATCCGAAAAGTAAGATTAGGGGTTGTTGAGTTTAGTATGGAAAATAGTGGTCAACTGTAAGAGCATCCCCAATAAGGGGATTGTACACCGTATTTAAGAAATATATGCCAAGTTAGAAGAAAGAGAGTGAAGTTAGAGAAGGTTGGAGTTTCTTTTGTTAATATGGAGATTTTGCAGAGATAGTGGGTTCCACTTGTGGGAGAGAGAGCTGCGCCTCGGCGTGAGGCGCAATTCTCGCACTCAGGCTGGGGCATAATTTTTTTTTTTCAGATTTTAATTTTCTTTTTTTTTTTCCTTTTTCTTTTTTTTTTTCTCCCCTCCCATTTTAAAACCTCATCAAATCTTTATACTATTGAGAATGTCCTAATTAATTAAATTAAAAAGAAGAAGAAGATCAGAGCTTACGTGGGATATGAAGATTTAAAAAGAAGATGTTTTAGTCTCAGAAGATTTCAATATTTCAAGTATAAATGTACATAATGTAGATGGGAAATTTGAAATTAGGGAAATTTGAAATTAGGGAAATTTATGTATATGCAGGCTAAAAATTAAAGATAGACTTACAATGATATAAAGGTCCATAAGAAACATAGCAAAAGCAAACCAAGCAGCCGCGTTTAGAAGCAAGAAAAGTGAGACTATGAATGGCATGTATTCCACACTTCTCGTCTTAATCACACTTATCTGACAGTTAAAACGAATTGACTTATCACATCGTAATTTAATAAAAAAAAATCTATTTATTAAAGGTGACATCACTTTATCTTTTAGTGTGAAATTTCTTGATCAGATTTTTTTTTTTTTTTTTTTTTTTTTTGCATGTCATTATTGGTATGGTAGTTTTCTTTTCTTTTAACTCATAAGTTTGGTCAATTTATGATGATTAATAATCCATGGCAAATCTCCTATGAAACTGTTACACAAATCTTCATCATATCCATGAGACATATTAGGTTTTTACAAATATTATATTTTCTCTTATAAGTATTAAAATTTTCTTCTTAAATAAATTTTCAACCTTAATATTACATTTTGATTTAGAAATATTACATTTTTTCATAAGTATTACATTTTCTCTTATAACTTATAAGTAACAATTAATCAATGTATCTTGATTAGTATTACACATATTTTTTCTCATAAATAATTGTTCAACTCCTAAATATTACGAAGTACATTTTGATTTCAGATTATTAACATTTGTTAAAAAATGTTACACCTAGCTAACTTTCTCAAACAATTTATTCATAATTAATATTGCATTTCGAACATAAGTATTACATTTCCATCTTAATTAACCTGACCCGTCTCATATATCTTATAAAAGTGTTTTTCTAAAATAAAAAAAGTAAAAAGTTTGAATGTAAAAAAGCAAATTAAATAAAGTTACCATAACGGAAATAGGGGCGGCATACATGATAGTTGTGAGGACCGCACACAAAATTCCAACAAATGTATGTCTTGCATTACCGTGGAAAACAAAGACAGATAAAGCAATGGCCAATCCTGGAAAACATATGTTCATTAACCCCACCAACATCAACGATTTCACCTGATAACAATCCAAATTAAATAATCACAATGAAAATTCTCTTTTATTATTTAATTTAAATTAGAACCATAGTTTATAATATAATATAATGTAGAAATTAAATTAAATACCTTTTTATGGATGGGAGCATAAACGAGGTAAATTATGAGATAAATAATTTGGGAGAGCACACCAACAGAATTTACTGTGATAATAAGTAAACCTGCATCAACTGGGACAAGAATACCATACAAAACCCATAGGCTTCTGCACACCAATTGGCACATATGGGGGACTGCATCGTAACCCTCTGCTGATATCTTCTTCTTCACCACCTTCCACAATGTTAACCTATCCATTTCATCATAAACATATATAATTATATATATAATCAGTCATTCTTATCCTATCCTATCTGTCATGTCAAAAATGTATATATGTTGTATCCCCAACCCTAAGGGCCCCCCACACCCCGGCCCGACAAAACATTTGGGAGGATATAAATCACGGTGACTCTGGTTCAGCAGACAGGGCCAAATGCGGTGCGCACAAGGAATTTGCCCACTTTGAACATAATTCCTACACTGCAGCCGCCTTGGTCTCTTCTCCCAAATACTGCTCACTGAACCATTGAGCTAAACCCGTGCGGGCTGTATATATGTTGTATGTATGTATTGCATGCAAGATTAGGTGATAAGATCGAATAGGGTCTTGTGGGAAACATGAGAATGAATCTTGACCGTCGATCAAAAATAGTGAATGAATGCGGTCTATACTTAAATGAACAACATATATAGTGGCATTTTTATAAATATAGAATTTTCATTTTATAATTTAATTTGTTGCTATATGCTCCATGTTTGATATGCATCCATGTTAATTACAACTTTCTAACAAAGGAAAGAATTAAAATTAAAATTTTTAAAAAAAAAAGGAAAATTTTAGAAAATTAAATGGAATGTAAAAGAAAAATTCTGCAAAAAAAAAATATACTTACGCTGGAGAAGCACAAAGTAAAATAGTGATAATATTGCCTGTAATGCACAAGAATGACAGTTACATTCATTGGAACGAAAATTAATTAAATGACAGTTACTAGTAAATCCTTTTCTCAGCTCACAATATATTTACAAGCAATTAATAAATATAAACACAATAAATAACATTTATTTATATTATTGAAGAAAGAAATTAACTGATAACGAACCTATAACACCCACTATAAATTCTGGCTTAACCATGCTCGAGAGTAATTACTTTGACACGTAATTGAATGAAAAAAGTTATTTACTTCACTCAAAGGGATTTAGATTTGGCTCCGAATACCAAAAAATAAATGATCGCACATATATGGTAGAAGAAGTGAGGCTGAAGAGTCTATGCTCTTCCTGCCACATTTTATAAGCTACAAAACATAAATTTCGAGATCAGAAACTCATACTTGCCGTTTGACCAAAAGATTCCATTTTAAGTACACATATTACTATATTAGAAAACAGGTTGTTTAATTTCGTGCACGGGCTTAACTCACTAGTTCAGTAGATAATATTTGGAAGAAGAGATCAAGGTTCGAACCTTACGGCTACAGTGTAAAGATTATGTTTAAAGTGGACAGATCCCTTGTGCGCACCGATTTTGTGTAAAAATTATGTTTAAAGTAGACAGATCCCTTGTGCGCACCGACTTTGCCGGGATGTGGGACCTTGGGATTGAAGATTCAACGAAGAAAACATGTTATTTGATGCTGACATATACTTTGACATTTTATATATAAAAAAGAATATGACTAAGATTACAAGTCTTGACTCGATCAGAATTTTATTGTAACAATATTTAAACTAATGTTAATTGTAATCATCTATGATATACGAGAAGTTTTGTATATTCGGGGCAGCTTTTATTTTTTTATATCAATTTATTAATAGTTTAATCTTCCAAAGCCAATGAAAATTATCAAGTATCCAAAGTACATAACAAGAAGCAGCTGTATTTTTATTTTATTTGAATTGTCTCGTGTATTGTTTTTAACTGCTTGGTGCTTTTTTATCAGCCCTTTGATACCTTACTGTAGTATGAGATACAATTTCCAGGCAAAAAGAAAAAAGAAATCAAATTAAATGTGCCCTTTTTTTTTTTAAGGAAAAAGAATTTATTCAACCTTAAGATATGAATTGTTGAAGGAAAAGTAGTAAACCAAGAAAAATCAAGAGTAAATACCTAAAATGGTCCCTCGACTATAGCTAAATTCACAAATTGGTCATTGACTTTCAATTTCAACCAATTAAGTCCTTAACTTTGTAATTTTGACACGATTTGGTCCTCCATCTATTTGACCATTTGTTGACCGTGATCGACGATCTCTAGAAGAACCTTTAACTCTCGTCGGAGCACGTGGAGGCTTCCAGGATGACGTTGTACCGGTTCGGAAACACGTCGTCTTCTTCGCTCTGGTACGAACTCAACTACATTGAATCCAAAGGGGAGGATGAAGAAAGGCGACCGGATTTGGTAGATTGCTTTCGGCAGTGGATTCAAATGTAACAGTGCGGTCTGGAAATGCAACCGGAACCTTAAAAACCCGACGATGGACCATGAAATTACATATATATCCTAAAAAATCACAGTCAACAAATGATCAAATAGACAGAGGACTAAATTGTGTTAAAATTGCAAAGTTAAGAACTTAATTGGTTAAAATTGAAAATCGAGGACTAATTTGTGAATTTAGCTATAGTCGAGGGACCATTTTAGGTATTTACTCAAAAATCAAATTAAATGTGCCCTTTTATTTTAAATGAAAATGCAATTGAGTAAAGTGTAAACAACTTTTCAACTTTCAAACTGATTCAATAATTAAGATTGTGATGAATTCTTGATCTTGTTAGGTCCCAATCATGAATACTTTGTCATGGGCAGTTGAGCATGGGATTAGAAAATGGTTGGGCTCAAGGGTAGAGTCACGAGAGCAAGGGTAAAGGCAGGGGAACAAGGATGGAGCAACCATTATTGCGTCATTTGCGTGTTGTGTGAACCACGGTCCAAAAACACATAAAATACATTATTTTAATACAAAATATATTATTCTAACTCATAAAATACATTATTTTTACCTTAGAAATTTCATTATTCTAACACAAAAAGTACATTATTATAACACATAAAGTAAATTATTATTCTAACTCATAAAGTACATTATCTTATCCCAAAATATTCATTATTCTAACACGTGCGCGAAGTAAGAATTTTTTTTATAGCATCAAAACGACGTCGTTTTGGATCCACACAATAATTTGCCAAGGATGGAGGTGCAAAACCTAGTGGAGTTCAAGACCAGCTTTGTGTTCAAGATTTGAATGTCCTATTGTACTAAGGGATAGTGCAATCCTCATTAGAAGTTTCAAGGATAAGAGTGGAGTAGGTTGTGTTAGCCATTAGAAGTTTCAAGGAAAAGAGTGGAGTAGGGTGTCTTCGCCGAACCACTATAAAATTCCTCTCTCTCTCCCTCTTCCCCCCCCCCCCCCCCCCCCCCCTCTCTCTCTCTCTCATATCTTCTAACAACCAAACCTAAATTTTTTTACAAGATAACTTACATGCAAATAAGTTTAAAAGGGTTAACAAAACTTCTGTTGTGCATACCCTCAAAATGTTAAAGTTACCTCTCGGGTATACTTTACACAATTCGTAAAAAAAATTCAAAAACTATACAAGCCTCACCCCCCTCTAGACTTGTACCCTAACCCTATCGGGGCCAACAAGTGGTATTATGGCAGTTACCTTGAATGGTAAACACTCAGTGTATACTGCCTGGTGATCTTCCATTTGAAAATCAAAACTTATTTTCTTGCACGTACTATTTTCTCTCAATAATAAGGATCATCATCTTTCCAAAAATTTGTTATTTACTTTAAATAAATTTGATGACTAGAAGGTGCATATGCAAGCGCACCTCACGACTTTGCATGATGAAATGTGGGAGGTCATGACAGAAAGATCAGTCAAGATCATGATGGTCAACGCTAATGCGATGGCCCAATGTCTAAACGCTCCTTAGTATTTACCTAAGCCGAGACATGTATGGACTTCATAGGACCGCACAAGGAACAACTTGGACAACATAGCTAAGGATATTATGTTCAAGACGGTCGATGACACATTATTCCCCAAAATCAAGAAATGCAAAACTGCTAAGGATAGTTGGGAAGTGCTCATGCAAATAGGAGAAAACGATAAGCGAGAGAAGGAAAACAAACTTACTATTTCCATGAAGAAGTTTGAGGAATTTCGAATGGATAATGGTGAGAGCAAAGCCGAGATGGAGACTCCTTATGAAACTCCTTAATGAGGTAGCTGATATAGGAAAGGAGTTATCCTAGGACGAGATCAACCTCAAGATTCTCCGCGGACTGCCCAAGTCATGGAAGAGGAAGGTTATTGCCATGATGGATCATTGCGATCTCAAAGCCATCAACACCTCACAGACTTCAGCGATCTCAAAGCATACAAGTTCGAGAAAGAACCTAGACGAGAAGATGACGAGACGAAGAGTGTTGCGTTGGTAGCTGACTAGCAACCCTCAACATCTTCCAAGTCTAATCTAACCCTAGTGATTTTTATCTGACGAACAATTTGCAATGTTTGTCAGGAAATTCAAGTATTTCATGATAAAGAAAAACATTCAAAGTCCATCCACACCCTCTTCTTTAAATCGGAGACACTCCGAGAGGTCAAGTTCCTTGAAGAGTAAAAACTCCAAGGAGTTGCAGGTCTTGTGCTACAACTGCCCAAAGCTATGACATTACAAAGCAAATTGCCCCTACCAGGTTGCACGGAACCACCAAGAGCAACCGAGAGGTATCCGCAACAACAACAACTCGATGAACGCACTTGGAGAGTCAAGTGGTAGATTACACAACCATTCGAAGAACAACTCGAAGGGTGACAAGAGGAGAAAAACACTGGTGACCGAAGAGTCAGTCGAGAAAGCAGTTAATGACTCATGCTCATCCAGTTCCAGTTCAGAGAGCGAAAGCTCAAGAAATGAGAAGGGACTCATTTGCCTCCTCAGCCAGCATGAATCTGATGAAGAACTTTGCTTGATGGCTAAGGATGATGAGGTAACTTCCCAAACCTCAACTGAATGTGAGTCAGACTTTAGTTCCAATGAAGATCTTATGGATTTGGTTTTCAAACTGATGAAGGACTTCAAAAATATAATGTAAAAAATACTTTGTCTAAACTGAAAGAATTGGTCGACTATTGGTCGAACGTGAATCTTTTAAGAGCATTGTGCTCAAAAATTCTAAAATGTGACAATGGTTAACTAAAATACACACTGCACAATACGTACAATTGTAGTGCATTATTTCGCCTAAGTTATTGCACGAGTACATCCCAACATGATTTACATTTATATATGTTGAATTGAATATATGCATAGGATAGTAGCATGACATTTGCATAAGTATACTTTGAAGTATGAAAACAATAGGAAACTCAATATTTGATAAAAGTGTTACTGGTAAAAAAAAAAAATTAAACTCATAATAGCGCAACATGTAAAATAAAACACAAATTTATCGTAGGATATAAATAAATACCAACCACATACATGCACTCAAAGTTTAGACATGGAGCCAAGAAAAATTACATCCACGTACATGCACTAAGGGCAACCATAGCAATCGTGTTTTTGCAGAGAAAAAAAGTTTGGGTTGAATTTTTTTAACAAACTTGCGGGGGGGGGGAGGGGGGGGGGGGGGTGATGAACTATTGACCCTACTTGTTCGGATGGGTGTTCACCCCAAAGTGTTCCCGGATCTATTCCGATGGCCTCCGGCCACTGTCAAAGCCGGTAGGTTTTGGATTTTTTTAAAAAATCCTTAGTCGAAGATTTGAGAGATGCTGTTTCCATTTGGTTATTTCTTCCTCGTTGTTGATACCGGCAAGACCCAGCCAATGAGCCAAATGATGTATGCTGGTTGGTAGTGAGAGGACTTTAGGTACAAATAAAAAATTACAGTCACGCGTGTTGGTAACTCTGCGCTCAAGGCACGCAAAGATTTTTTTTTTTTTTTTTTTTTTTTTTTTTTTTTTTGTCGGAATTTGTTTTTCTTTCTTCTTTTTTTTTTTTCTTTTCATTTTTCCTCATCTCTTCCCTTCTCTCTTCTACATTGATTTGAAAAATCCAACAAAAAATGCACATCGATGATGTTGCTCTAATTTTTTTTGGGTATGGAAAATTTGATACTCCATGCAAGTGTATATTGCATACATATGTAAATATAATTTGGGCAGTGCAAAAAGAAAAAAAAAATAGCTTGTATATAAATAAACATAGATTTGTAGGATGTTCATTATTACACCAAACTAGTATGCTATCTGTGCATAGCACGGTATTAATTCAATCAATTATATAAGAATATGCTCTAAAAGTATTAAGCGATAGTATATAATATTAACCAAATGATATGAATATGTGATTGCATGGAAATTCATTTTTTTGACAAATAATAAATTCAGTGTAAAACATGTACAAAAAGCTACATAATTAAACTTATATATTGTGATGCACAAATAGAACATATTATAAAATTTATGTAATACTATTATAATTTTAATACGACGTCCAATAGGTGTTGTTGTTGGGAAAATAAATCTTGCATGCTCGAACAAGAGACTCAGTAGTCAGTATGAATGCACAAGTATTCAGTTTAAGCGCCAGTGATGTGTTTTATGAGGTAATGATGGGTTTCAAATTGCGCTGCAAAGATTTATGGAGTCTTCTACTATTCGTGTAGGTTTTTATGTGTTTGAATTTATAAATACGGATGTTCGGTAATGGGTTTATTTTTGAATGTTCGGATTAAAATAGAACTGTTAAAACGAGTCAACTCGGCCCATACAGACTGGCCCATCTCGAGTTCATCTAGAAACGAGTTGGGCCGGACCAACTCATTTTTGCACGTGTTGGACGGACTAAACGGGTTAACCCGTCAGCACGTTTATTTTTTTTTTGTTTTATTTTATATTATTAAAACTTAGTATTTTTTGTATAGCTTAGGAATTGAATCCTCGACCTCTAATCTAAGTTAACAACTAATACTATTTTCAATCAAACACATAAATCTTTTTGAACAAATACCATTTATGAATATATATATATATATATATATATATATATATATATATATATATATATATGTTATGTACGTACTCTGTTGTTTTGTATTCGTTGATGATGGATTAATGAATGTAAACAACATTTTGATAAATATGCACACAGTGACCCAACAAAACATATATGTTACTACGTATTTGATTTCATATGCACATGCACAGTGACACAGCAAATATATATGTTGTTTGATTTCATATGCACACATCAAACAGATATGTTAAGTATGTACATACTTGGAAATTAAATTTTCCAACTCAACCCATCTAAAATATAGGTTAAACAGGCCTAACCCAACGAGATACGAGTTATACGGGCCGGGTTGAAAATTTTCCAACTCAATCCATCTAAAATGTGGGTTAAACGGGCTTAACCGTTTTGAAAGCTCTAGATTTAAAGAGGTGATCGAAAAATTGTTGTCATGGTTTTTGGTACGTTCTAGTGTGTTGTTACTGCATATTGCGGTCTCCAATAGCTTAGGTGGTGTTGTTAGGTGAATATATTTTGCATGCTCGAATCATTGTTGGTGAATGCACAAGCAGTCAATATGGATGCATGGTTATTTAGGGTGTGTTTGGTTCGCATATGGGAATCGAAGTTGGAATGGATATCAAATACTTGGTAATGGTAATGGATTTTGGTGAAAGTATTTAACATATTTGGTAGTAGGGCGGAATGGAAATGATTACTAATAGTAGTGCTTGGGAATGAATAAGGGAATGAAACCCTTAAATTATTTGTGTATGAGTTTTTCAATTGATGGGGTATTCGAAACTCATAATAATGTTCTAAAAACATATCAATCAAACAATAATAATCACTTTCATACACATTTCTATGGACAAAACCGGGTATGGGTTTAGTCCTTAGTTATGTATTTTATGAAGTAACATGGCACGATGGTGTAATTAAAAAAGGAAATACACAACAAGAACAATCCTAGTGCACAAATCTGTCCAAGTGAATGCACATTCAAGTAGAAAACCATCGATTCCATGATGCGAATAGAAACTGATAGACAATACTGTGATAATGTTCAACACCCAAATTGGCAATACAGTTATACAAGCTAAGTGACATTGTATGCCTTTTTTATTATTATTATTTTTTTTTTGGATTGTATAGACAATATATATTTATACAAAATTACCAACAACTTTTATTTGAACAACCAATTGTTGTTCTTTTTTTTTTACTGATTTGTATGATGAAATTTATAGCCAGGCCACAACATTATACCGCATTCAAATATCGGCATAATAGACAAAAAATAGCAGTTACAATTTGAAATACACAACTTAGTAAATGTGACAATAGTTAACTAAAACAAGCATTGCACAACATGTACAATTGTAGTATACTATTTCACCCAATTGAAACATGTGCTCCATCTCAACTAAAAGCCTAAGCTGATAGTTGGATTGCACATTAATGTAGCTATATGCTCACACGACCCCTCACGTGTGCGGATACCAAATTGAATCATGTGCTCCATCACAACTAAAAGCTTAAGCTGATAGTTGGATTGCACATTAATATGGCTATATGCTCACACACCCAAGTCATTGCACGAGTACAACCCAACATGATTTACATTTCTGGTTGAATTGAATATATGCATAAGATAGTGGCATGGCATTTGAAGAAGTATACTTGAAGTATGAAAACATATAGCTAGGAAACTTAAGATTTGATGAAAATGTTACTGGTAAAAAATTTAAACTCATAATAGCGCAACACGTACGTAAAATAAAACACAAATTCATCGTAGGATATAAATATCAACCATGTACATGCAATTAAAGTTTTGGCATGGAGCCAAAAAAGTTACATCCACAGACATGCATTAAAGGCAACCATAGTAGTGGTTTTGTGCAGTGTTTTAACGGGGGATGGGGGAGGGGATGTTAGTAGTTTTTACGCCCGCAAACAAGTTTGAAAAAAATAGGTGTTGTCCTAACTTCTAGGCGCGATTTTTGCTACCTTGCTTGCAAATAAAAATTTTCACTCTCACGTGTGGGTAACTCTGCATCCAGGCCACGCAAAGAAGCTACTTTTTTTTTTGTCAGAAGTTGTTTTCTCCAACAAAAAATGCACACAGGTAATGTTGCTCTAAGTTTTTTTTTTTTTTTTTTTTTTTTTTTTTTTTGGTAAGCTAGGGATATTTGATACTCCATGCAAGTGTACATTGCATACATAAATAGCTTGAATATAAATAAACATAGATTAGTAGGATGTTCATTATTACACCAAATTAGTATGGCACTCGTGCAACGCACGGTATTAATTCGATCAATTATATAAAAATATATTCTAAAAGTATTTAGACATAATATTAATATACAATATTAACCAAATGATATAAATAAAGATTTGGATGGAGAATAGTAAGTAAAAAAAAAAAAAAAAAAAAAATCACACATCTCCATCTCCTACTATTGAGAGAGAGAGATCCAAGTAAGTGCTTCTCACCTTTCACTCCCGGCCTCTAATCTTCCGATGTAATAAAATTTTGGAATGCTATAAATGAAACCATATTCCCCTCCCCTCCCCTCCCTAATTCCTCCGATCTTCACAACATTCTGAGGATCGGAGAGGGTCAATCAATTCCTTTGTGACCTTCTCCGTTTAGTATTACTCACAAACTCTTTTCCAAAAATGGGAGAGACTAAGAGCAAGAACATGACCATCATCGGCGTGAGTTCTTTGATCCTTGTAGCTATGGTGTTGGCCCTCGCGTTCGGCGGCCAAGAAACCAGCGAGACCGAAGAGGAAGGTAACATCGCTACGTCCCAGAAAGCCATTGAATCGGTATGCCAGCCTACTGATTACAAACAAACTTGCGTCAACAGCCTCTCCAAATCAGACGCCGGCAACTCAACGGACCCCAAAGTGCTCATCCAAGCCGCGTTTAACGTCACCATTGCCGACATTCGCCGCGCCATTCACAACTCCACGCTTTTGCGCAATCTCAACGACGATAAGAGGTCGAAGATGGCGTTGCAGACCTGCAAGGAGCTCGCCGGCCGTGCCGTGTCGGACCTTAAAAGGACCATTGCCAAGTTCCGAACCTTCGACCTCATGGACGATATGGATATCTGGCTGGCGGATCTCAAGACGTGGATCAGCGGGGCTTTGACGTATCAGGTATTAAGGACTCACTGGAATTTCCGACCACCATATTCAGAAAAATCTTTGTTGCTATTTCCGACCACTTTTTGGTGGTCGGAAATTCTATAATTTCCAATAGTGAGCACTAGCATCTGTATATAGTTTTGGTCTAGAATTGTTGCTTTATGTGAATCAATGTACATTCTTTCCATTCTAATATCAGGAAACGTGCCTCTCGGGGTTCCAAGAAATTCCGGGACATGAAGAGGAAATGGTGAGGGAGGTTTTGACGGAATCCATGGAACTCACCAGCAACGCCTTGGCGATTGTGACTGAAATGTCTTCCCTCAGGTCGGAAACCGAAGCTCCGGCGCCCATTTCAGAATCCATTACCGGCAAACGTCGTCTTCTCTCCAAACCGGCCTTATTCCCTTACTGGGTCAGCTCAGGAAACCGTAGGCTTCTTAAAGTATCCCTGAAGGAGATGAAACCAGATCTTGTGGTCGCAAAAGATGGGTCCGGGAACCACACGAGCATCAACGACGCCTTGCAGGGAATCCCCAGGAAGAGCAACGATACTTTTGTGTTGTACATTAAAGAAGGCGTTTATGAAGAGCAGGTTACGTTTTACCGTAATTTAACTAATTTGGTTGTTGTGGGTGACGGTCCGACCAAGACGAAAATCACGGGGTGGTTGAATTTCATTGACGGGGTTTCCACGTTCCACACCGCCACCGTCGTGGTTCTCGGCGACTTTTTCATGGCGAAGGATATCGGGTTCGAGAACTCCGCCGGGCCGGAAAAGCACCAGGCGGTGGCGTTGAGGGTGGGGGCGGATAAATCCATTTTTTACAACTGTAGAATGGATGGGTATCAAGATACGGTGTACGCCCACACCTACCGCCAATTCTACCGGAACTGTGAAATCTCCGGCACCATAGATTTCATCTTCGGCGACAGTGCGGCGGTGTTACAGAACTGCACCATTGTGGTCCGGAAACCGATGGAGAAACAGCAGAATATTGTGACGGCGCAGGGGCGGAAGGATCCGCACCAGCCCACCGGGCTGATCCTCCAAAACTGTACAATTAAGGCTGACCCGGATTATGATCCGGTCAGATTCAAGATCAAATCCTATCTGGGTCGGCCATGGAAAGAGTACTCAAGAACCATAATCATGGAATCTTTCATCCCGGATTTTATCCAGCCGGAGGGGTGGTTGCCATGGAAGCTGGATTTCGCGCTCAAAACCCTCTTTTACTCGGAGTTCAATAACAGAGGGCCGGGGGCTTCTAAAACAAAGAGAGTTAAATGGCACGGAATCAAGGAACTCCCCACCCACATAATCAAACGATTCACTCCGGCGAAATTCATCACCGGCAAATCTTGGATTAAGCACTCCGGGGTCCCGTACAATCCCGCCTTCATATACCCGCCACCCAAGAAAGACAAAACCGTCAAATACTCCGACGTAGACGACGATGATTTCAAGGATTTAGGGTCTAAAGAAATGGAGGCTTATGTTTCTCGTCCACCTTCAATTGCCGTTTCTCCGGTTGGGGCTCCGGCTCCGGCGCCTACAAACGCTCCGGTTTCCTGATGGGATGAGATTCGGCTACTCCGATGATTCGTGTATAGTGTAACTCCTTGTTACGTTCAATGTGGCGTATGAATATAACCCACGATGGCGTTGTTAGCACTTAGCAGTTGTTCCGTAGCTTTATAAGTGGAGATGGCTTCTGTTAGTTTTATGATCTATAGGCTAGAGGTTGGACCAACATAAATCTGTAAAGCTGAAAAAAAAAAAAAAAAAAAAAAAAAGATTTGAAGAATGTACACAAGTGTATATATATTGTTGTTATAAAGTTTTGAATTTCTTCCTTCTACCGGGGTTGGTATATTGAGTAATCATACATATGAAGTTTTGAATTTCTTTCTTCTTCCTTCTACCGGGCTTTCCTTAAAACGTCAAGTATAAACATAGTATCTGTAACATTTGTATTTTCAGCGGTTTGGAGCAAAAATGTCATATGACAAATTGGGAAAGATTACCTATTTGAATTTTGTTTCCCACTAACGAACAAATTCACGGAGTCTATACATACCTCACTTTATATCATATGAGATGCTAGTCATTCGTTAAAAATTCTAGTATACAAGTGCAAGTGATATTCAAAGTGCAATTGTAGTTGATAGAAAGAAAAAAAATCTAAGGCTTAAAAGGCTAAGAACGAGAACACAAAACTCAAGCACATTTAAGATATATCTAAAAGTTGTGTCACCGAGTTGGAGGTAGAATATCAAACACAGCTGTGTTTCAACCAACAACCATCTCTACTTGGAGAAGTAAATGTGAAAACTTTTGAGGCTTGTAGCTGGCCTTGTGTTTAAGGCACAAGTGCTCACCACTTTGTGTTATGAGTGATACAATACTTAGTGGAACATCCTACATGTTATAGGATAAGAGTGGAATAGGATATTGCTAAATCACTATAAAAATTTCTCTTTCTCTATCTTTACTTTACTGCCATTTACTTACTGCACTTAGAAACAAAGACATTAAGTTTTTTAAGCAAAATCAAAACCTGAGCTAAGAAAAATAAAATTGGGTTAACTTATAATTTTCCGCTATAAACTCTCAGAAATCTTGAGATTAAGAAATTAGGAATTCAACACCACTTTACGGAGTAGTGTGGAAATTTTAATTTCCCCTCTATACTTTTTCTTTTTTTTTTGAAATCTAACAAGACTATACACACCCGCATCCTCCTCTAGATTTGTTCTTAACCCAACGGGACCATCAATTAGACGATTCAAGCAAGTACACATAAGAATTATTAATACTTCTACTAATAACTGTTATTACATTGAGCTTAAGAACCCATCAAGTACATAACATAACCCTTGCCTACATACATTCCAGACTAAGACAAAATAACCCTTGTCAAACTCAAAAGCCATATGAAACTCATGCTTGTTCAACAGTGAACCAAAAACCAAGTTCTTGCATACATTCTTTAGAGTTAGCTTCCACCCGGATGTCATCTTCAAAACCACCTTGCACACATATTCAATAGCATACTGAGCAAAATTACCCTTCTTTCACCTCACATCAATAATCTTGAAGGTGGTAAACGACTCACGATTGGAACATATGTGTTGGGTTGCACCGATGTCAATGAACCACTATTTTTTGTTTGAACTAACCAAGTTTACCTTGGTCACCATGACCGAGAAGATGATCTCTTCTACCTTTTGATTATTTTCCACCAAGTTGGCTTGAGAAGACTTGTTCTTTTTCTTCGGTGCCTTACCATTAGAAGATTTGTCACCCATCTTGCTAGTTAAGACATTTTCCATGAAATTTATTCTTGGAAACACTACCTTTAGGACCAAGTTTTTGCTTATCATTTTTGGTATTCTTAGAGCTTTTGCCATTCTTCACCATGTTGACCTTAGCACCACCGATGATGGGGATTTTCCAATCAATTTTCACGTTGTGCTCTTCAATTATGAGTCAAATGTTCAGCTGCTCTAGATTCATCTCTTTCTGCTTGTGCTTAAGGTAATTCTTAAAGTCCTTCTATGCTGCAGGCAACAAGTGAATAATAGATGTAACTTAGAAGGCTTCACTCACAACCATTCCTTCATCTTATATCTCATTGAAGATCATTCAGATATCTTCAACCTTACTCAAGATGATCTTGAAATCCACTATCATGTAATCTAGGAATCAACCGACGATAAATTTCTTTGCCCTGTGGGGTTTTCATTCTTACTTTGGCGACCGACTGGCGAGGAAGCAGTGACAGGTTAGTGGTTCTTACTTCTTACTCTTCTAATATAGCAGTGGTGTAGATAGGTTTGTCTTGAGCGTGGCAGCGACGACCGTCGGTGTAGATATCGTGCCTGTTGTGGCCTATGGAGCGGAGGCTACTACGGCCTGTGGAGGCGGCTGCTGCTACTACGGCCTGTGGAGGTGATGGCGGCGATTTTTGAGATTTAGTAGTTACTGTGGCAACGTTACAATGGATATAGTATGTCCGCAGCATTACAATGTTGTAGTTACAATGGTGGCGGCTGCCTCGGAATCTGGCTGTAGTTACCATGACAGCATTGAGATTTATATACATTCTTTCTGGATATAGTATTACCTTGTTTATGTAGTTCAAATTTGCTATAATAATATTGGTTCTGTTTATTAACTTGCTGAAGTTGTAATTAGTAGAACTATAGAAGATTAAAGATTTATGTTTTACTTACTTACCTTGTTTATGAACTGCTAATTTACTAATGTTGGTTCTTACCACTGTTGTAAAAATAGGTCTAGGCGCTAGGCGCCCCTAGACCGTGGCGATTTCTCCCCTAGGCGACCGGCCGCCTAGGTGTCCGCCCAGCGCCTAACTCGGCCGACTAGGCAACCGCCTAGCGTCTAACTTAGCCAAGTTAACTCGTCCATTTCAGTCGAGTTAACTCGATCAGCTCGGCCTTGCTAATTTTTTTTCATTATATATGTGTGTGTGTGTGTGTGTCTGTGTCTGTGTCTGTGTCTGTGTCTGTGTCTGTGTGTGTGTGCATACATATATATAATATGACATATATATACCCGTAGACAAGTTTGATACTTTGAATATTTGGATGATTTCATATTTGAGCATTTTTAAATTTTAATATTGTTTTGATATTATGACTTATGAATTATCATTACTCATTTATTTGGATGTGTTATTTGATTGAATGCTGAAAACAACCTCATTAAAATTGTCAAGCTACAAGTCTACCACTGTTTTTTTGGCGCCCGCCTAGCGCCACCTAGACGTTAGGCGCTGCCTGGGCGCCTAGCGCCTACTACAACCATGGTTGTTACTGTTTATTAAGTCTTTGTTTTTAATGTTATAATATTGAATGAAGTGTGGTTCTTAGTGTTTTCATATTCAATGTTAGATACGTGGGATTATATCCCAAGTGTTGGTTCTATGTGTGTTAATTGTTAAATATTTATGAGATCATATATGATGACAAGCAACAAAACAACTAAGTCTATTCCTAAACAAGTTAATGAGCATGTTGGATTTTGTATTATGAGTATTATGAACTTGTGTGGTTGGATATTTTATTATTAACTTGTGATTGTGTCATTTTGTGATTATTGATTGATTGTAATTTTGTAACATGATACATGAATTTGTGGTAATAATGTAATATACTTATGCAGTTATGTATTAATTTTTTATTAAGGTATATTTTTGAACTTTTTTACAAATACATATACTTTAAAAGGCTTTAACATGTAGGCCTCAAAGTCTATTTAGGATCTACTTTGAAGCCTTTTTAATAACTACATATTAAATAGGTTTTTAAAAAGGTTTCAAGCTAGGGCATGCCAATTGAAGAGGCTCAAGCTTGAGCCTAACAAAAAGCCATCATAGCTCAAGCTTTAGATTCTCATAGCAGGTCTAAGCCTAATTTTCTAAATCTAAAGGAATAAGGTTTAAATTGACCACTGTAACCTGAAAATGCAATTAGGCCACTGAACGAGAAAAAAAAAAGTGCAATTAGGCCACTGAACACTCCAAATGTATACAATTTCACCGGATAGCAGGTTACCATCTCAATTTTAGCAGGTTACTTGCTTACATGGCAGCTGAGTGGGCATTTTTAATAAATTTTAAAATTTTTTTAATAAATTTTAAAATAAATTAAAAATAAAACGACGGGGTGGCCAACTCAACATTTTTTTTAATTTTTCAAAAAAAAAATTATTATTAAAAATTATTAAAAATGCCAACTCAACTGTCACGTAAGCAGGTAATCTGCTAAAATTGATGGTAACCTTCTATCAGGTGAAATTGCATACATTTGAAGTGTTCAGTGGCTTAATTGCACATTTTTTTTTCGTTCAGTAGCCTAATTGCATTTTCAAGTTACGTTTAGTGGCCAATTTGAACCTTATTCTTTTTCTAAAACCCAACTCAGCTTGGCCTATTTCCATCCCTGCTTAGTGGCAAATTATACTATGAACCATGCTCCATATTGTAATGTGAATCATTGATAAGTGTTCATTTTTAACATTACTGAAAGTTTATTTTTAATATATTTAATGTTCATTTTTAGATAGTACATCAAAAAATAAATTTTAAAAAAATGAACATTCAATATATTAAAAATACATTTTTAATATTCTATAAAGGAATATGCTCAAATTGAACTAGCGAATTAAATCCGTTTGACATCTCTATTTTTTATATTACATTGAAAGATTTTTTATATCCAATATAGAAAAGTCAACAAAATTTGCAACCGAAGAAAGTTATCAATTAATTATGATTAAACCAATGCAAACTTGCAACAAAATGCTTGCCATTGCAAATGTTACAAAGGAAAAAAATCCAAACTTTGTGTTCCGTTGCAATTTTGTTACGAATTGTGATTTTGAATGAAATTTAAATATTTTACATTGGAATTAACTTTTATGTAATTGGATAAATTAAAAGTGAAATTAATTTTTTTTCAAAAAAAGTGGGATTAATTTTTTTTTTTTCTAGAAATGGTTTTAAATTGTAATTTTAAAAATTTTAATCAATCGACAGGAAACTACGTGAACCCTTGAACCCAAGACGGGATCTTTGTCTTAAACGAGATTAGTATTTTCAGCTTCTTTGCTACGCAGTGTAAAGGAGCTTTGGGAAGTATAATCGCATCTATCAATTTCTTGGCTTAAACCCTACTGCTATTTCTCTTATTCCATCAGCCTCTGAAAATGTTCAAGAAGTGAGTTTTCTATCTCCATGGTGTCGCTTTATCTGCAGTCTTATAGGAATCGCATTTTTTTCATTGTTCCATATGGATTCCTTTACTTTAATCTCTTTTTTTTTTTTTTTTTTTTTTTTGGGTGTTTGGTGGTGTTCAAGATTGGACTTCTATTGACACCCAATATGTTTTTCCTTATATTTTGAACTATGATTGTATTACACAAGATAGATCGTGTTTACTGAATTGTGGTTCCTTGATAATGTTTGATTTCGGCATTTTCTATTGCTTGTCTGATTCTGTTAAACTAGTAGTGATATCCTGCAATTTCGTCTGGAACAATGGCATGTGAAGATGCTAAGTTTTTCCTTGTTGAAGATTGCGATTTTGTTGTCAATCTCATGCCTATGTCTTAGATAGCTAAATCCCTTTTTAGGGCAGTACTAATAGTTGGGGAAAAAAATGTTTATGCAATTTCCATGTCCAATGGAAATTAGAACCATTTGATCTTCAGCTGATTCCTATTATTTCATATTGAGCTCAATTGGGTATTTCAAAAGGTTCATGTTATAATAGTTAGTTCATCTGGTACCATGGCAAAAGCTTTCTGCTTCTTTTTTTTTTTTGAATGCTACTGACTCAATTACAATGTAGTATCTGTTCATAACTACGTTCTCAACCTACTGAAGCACAAAGAGCCAATAACGCTTCCACTGAGACTCGAACTCACAACCTCCCATATGGGAGTCCAACTTGGGTGCCATCTGAGCACAAGGTGCTTGGCAGCTTTCAGCTTCTTTAAGTCAAAGAAGCCACCACATTATTATCTTGAATCATTGACACTGATACTTTGCAATCTGTTTTCTGTTCTAAAATGCTGGATGAACTAAATGCAGATACATTAAATAATAAGGATCATATCCTAATGTTCTTGCTAAAGGAATTGTAATCTATTTGAATAACTAGAATATCACGTATTATTCTGATGAAGAAGTTTGACTTGCTAGCTCAAAAGCAAGTTGAGTTTGTTTTTATGCAATTCCTTCACTAGTTTCCTTGCTTTTTATTTCCTCTCAAAACCATTATGATCAAGATATGATGATTATTCGGAATGTTCTAGTGCAAATTTGGGATAAATATCCTCTTTCCTTGTAGGTTGCTAGGAGCCTCTATCCTTATTTAGTATAGTTATGTTGGAGAAAAGTAGTTGATAGGTTTTTAATCTAACTATAAGACATGCAATTATGCTATATATTCTATATGGTGCTACTGAGTAGTAAAAAACTTTTAGACATTATCATATATCTCAATTTATGTGCTTTAGTTTTTGTATCCTTCTTGTTGGCTGTTGTTGTTCATAAGATGGTAATAACCAGACCCGTTCTTTTTATTTTATAAAATATTTATAGGTTCTCAAGTGAAGAAGTTTCTGGACAAAATCAAGTCAAAGCATCTGTGCAACGCAAAATCCGGCAAAGCATTGCAGAAGAGGTATTAATTCGTGTTGCCTTTGCTTTTAGAATTCTTCCATAGATTATATATGTATTATCTCTTATTCAGATTTAGACTAGTTTACATATCTGATGCTGTTACATTTCTATTTCAGTACCCAGGACTTGAGCCTGTTCTTGATGATTTGCTTCCAAAGAAGTCCCCTCTGATTGTTGCAAAATGGTTTATTTAATTGAATCACTTTCTTTCTTCCCTCCAACTTTCATTATATTGCATTTCAGTCTTGTCTTTGACACACAGCTACCCTTTTTTTCCTACTTTTGAAGTCCAAATCATCTGAATTTAGTTGTGGTGAACAATGTACCGCTATTTTTCAATATACGGGATGGACCGTATATGCCTACTCTGCGGCTTCTTCATCAATGTAAGCTATTCATGAAACACGTTATATCATCCTAGGCTTAATTTTCTTTTGATAAGTATACTATCCTACACTTATTTCATGTTATACCACTATGACTTGTAATGAACTGTTAAGTTTCTTTTTTATTGGAAAAAGGGTCAAATTAGCCCCCTAAGTCAAACAGATAGTGCAATTGAGCCCCCTAAGTAAAACAAAAAAATGCTCCATTCAAACCCCATAAACTGGTTTAAATGTTCAATTGAGTCCTATACTAACCTGTTTGGCATGTTGATGTTTCTCGGGTTGACATGTGTCTCGTTTTTAAATTTTTTACTTTTTTTTTTCTATAAAAAAAAACTTTTTACTTTCTTTTTAATTAATTTATTTCATTTCTTTAATTTTAATACAGCCGGTGGTTGTCTTCTTCACGGACAGCCTTCTTCATGGACAGCCGTGGCTGTCCGGTGACAGCCACTGCCATCTAAAAGAAATTCAATTTTTTTGAGTTTTTTTTAATGCATCCATGGTTTTCTTGTCATTTTAGATAGCCGTGGCTCCATGAAAGAAGACAGCCATGGCTGTCTAAAAAAAAATCAAAAAAAAAAGATTTTTTTTTTTTTTTAAAACAGCCATGGCTATCTGTGAAGTTGGCTGTATTAAAAATTAAAAAATAATAAAAACAAGTAAAAAAAATTTTTAGAAAAAATAAAAAGTGAAAAAATTAAAAAATGAGACATGTGTCGGCCTGAGATGTGCATCAACCTGCCAAACAGGTTAATATAGGACTCCTGAATTGACCTGGAAAGAAATTCCCTTCTGCTAACGAAATTTGATTAGTCTACTTAGTTATTGGGAAGAAAATTTGAAAGTTTGGGTCAAGTTTTTAACTTCGTGATACTATTCTCTTACAGTTTTATGTTTTCCTTTCTCTATGCAGATCCAAACATAATGAAAAAACTGCAAGTTGACAGGGGCGCTATTAAGTATGTCCTGTCTGGTGCCAACATAATGTGTCCAGGCCTTACGTCTCCCGGAGGTGCTTTGGATGATGAAGTTGGAGCCGAGACTCCTGTTGTAAGAATGATAGGACCTATTCCTATATCTACCCGTAGATAATTATCATAATATGTACTGAAATATTGTGTAACGATTTCCTCCTTTCCCCACTCTAATGTTGCTAACCTTGACTGTATTCATTAATGTGATAACATGCTTAGATTGTAGAATGGACTTTTGATATTCCTAACGCTTTTCAGGCAATAATGGCTGAAGGGAAGCAACATGCTCTTGCTATTGGCTTTACAAAAATGTCAGCAAAAAATATGTGAGTTAACTAACGTTCCCCATTAAATAGTACTTTGTTTTTCATACTTTTCTGATTGTATTAGTTCTAGTAAAGAATTATAATTTGTTCTGTGAGCTGCAAATAACTTTGAGGATGGATTGGTTGGTATACCCTTTTGTTTAGTTATATTCTTTAAAATGTTTTGAGCTTCAAAAGCGATGCTTCTTGTTTCTGCAGAAAAGCAATCAACAAAGGAATCGGTGTTGATACCATGCACTATCTCAATGATGGCCTTTGGAAGGTAATTCCCGTGACCCCATTTCTTTGGCAGATCTAAAGGGTGTGTTATTTCAACATATAGATTTGATGATTCAAATTACGTTATTTTTGTTTCTTGACCGTAGATGGAGCGGCTGGATTGAGTGTGTGCGAAATGGGTACTTGTTTCGTGGAACAAGATGATGCGATGCGCACACGGTTTCTTGGTGTGTAGTAATGATCCTTTTCTTTTATGATGAACAAGGTTTTGTGTTCAGTACCCTCTTGACTTACTGCACTTTGAAATCATGATGAGTTCTTATTTGCGGTGTAAATTTCGAATTTGGTATGTACAATTTAGAGTTTGTAACAAATTGGATTCAATCTCAAGTTACAAAGATATTCTCTATATTCTATTTTACAATGTAATAGACTCAGTAGTACTCAAAAAAAAAAAAAAAAAAAAAAATTTACCTGTTGTGTTTATTGTCTTTTTGCTTATTTTCTTTAATATTTTATAAATTTTAAAAAAAAATTTGTGTGTAATAATATTTTTATGTACTTTTTAAATATAAATTTTATATATTAATACTATATTTAATATTATAAACATTTGAATTGTAAATTATTTTAGTAACTTTATTTAGTCACCTTAACCAAAATAGACATATAAAAGAGGACAATTGGAGTATTTATTTATATGCTAATTCATAATTTATTAGTCACAATTTTCCTACTGATAGGATAAAGGGTTGACAAAATGCATTAAAAAATCTTGAATTAAAAAAAAAAAGTTTTAATTAAATAATTTTTTAGTGATGATGAAAACTTGTTGTCATTATTTGAAAATGTATACTAATAAGTAAATCGCATCTTATGACTTTGTAATATTTTGATTATCAAATCAATGATTTCTCTTTTAATTAAATAATATTTTAACTCAATAAAAAAATTTAATTAGCACTTTTGATAAATTCCGATCACCGTAATCGGCTAAGTTGGCACTTTGACAATAAATGACTTTGAAAATACACCATTATGTGTGGTGTATTTTTTATTTTATTTTTTGTGGTGCAATTTTTGACATTTTATTTTGGTGTATTTTCGAACACTGTATGGTGCATTTATGCATACTTAATGGTGTATGCCGCACTGATCTCACGAAAAGACTTGTTCTCACAGGAACCAAAATCTATATATATTATTTAAAAAGAAAAGAAAATTAGTTCTATGTAGTATGATATTTTATTTGCTATTAATATGGTGAGTAAATAGTTGCACTTGAGACCTATGTGCATTAAAGTTAAGGGTTTGTTTAATTTATAGTATGAATATTGCAAATGAAGTCATTGGATAATACTCATAATAAATTAAGAGAATGTTGCAATTGTTGTAAATATTTATATTTATGGCCATTAAACTATTTAGACCTTTCATTTGCTTATCATTTAATCATGTATTGATGTTGTGTACTTGAAAGGTTGTATATGACCACTATATAAAGTGAGTGAAGATGAATGAAAGGGACACACTTACATGATGGTTATACTATAACTTGGTGTTCTTCTCCTCCTCCTTTTTCTTCTCTTTACATATACAAACACACATACATATATATATATACGCAATTCCGGGTGTATAATTGTGCAAGCATCACGCGGGGACTAACGAGTGAAAAGGCCAAAACTTAACACGTTATCAAGCACGCTCTTCGGTGAACGGTATGCTTTATACATTACTTTTCTTACAAAGTGCATATTTGTTGTTAATAAAATATGTACTCTGTATGATTGAATTATATGCATTGTCTGTAAATGCTATGCGTATCTTTTATAACATAAACTGAAAATATTGCATACAATATTTTATTCAAAAATGCATATAAATATTCTGCCATGTTTATTTGTTCAAATATACATGCTGGCATGAACAATGTTGATAATTTTTTTCTTTATCATCCCTAGTTGCCAAAAATGCCTATAATTGCATATTTTGTGTTCTATGGATATGTGGATATGATTATTGGTTATATGCCTTTTGATTCCTTTTGAAGATATTGTTTTATATGATACATATTCTTCTGAAATTTGAAATATGAATTGCACATATTGGCTCATATATGTATGTTTGTGTAAATTCATGAATATATTTTTCCAATTCTATATCCTGCGAATTGAATGAAATATATGAACACAATATGTCTGGTTATCTTCCTAATATATTATATTATATTGTCTAGATAAGTATGATATTGTATATGTACGCATAGTTTGTATATATGCCTGCAAATTCTTGAATAAGGAAATCTAAAATCTTTGTCTCTTCGGAAGAAATGTACGTACTGCATATTTGGCTCATAATGATTATATTTGATCCTTTGTATTCTTGAAATTTACTTTCATATGATAAATAATGTGTGTATATAATCCACTATTAGATTGTATATATTTTCCCAAAAAAAAAAAATAGATATTTATAATTTTATATATTTTGTGAAAATTTTGCATCTAGAAAGTTTTAATTCCTTCTCTTTGTGAAAATAGAATATGGTTCATTAATTTTGTTTTTGAATAGCAATTACAATTAAAATGGATTGTTTCTTTAGATAAACTGTTTTTTTTTTCTAAATCTTTTTGGATGCATGTCATAAATGAATTATTTGGATGTATGTTATAATCAAAATTTTGGATGTATGTCATAATCGAAATTTTGTAATATATATATTTCTATTTTATTTTGCTTCTGTGAAAAACAAATGTGATTTTGCTTCTACAGTGTGTGCATAGTTCGTACATTTAAAAAAAAAATTGTCTTGTCTTGTCCCTCTTGATTAAGTATTGTATGATGGAAGAATTGATTACATATACATAGCAAGAATAGATTTCTATACGTATTGTCTTTTATTATTATTATTATTATTATTATTATTATTATTTTTATCTCTAAGAATTTACTTTCTTTATTCATTCATATTCAAAATTCATTTTTTGCATTGTACACATGAATTTTGATAATGTAATGTGCGTACACAATATAATGTATTGATAATGTATGATGCGCATAAGAGCATCCAAATTAAATTGCATAGATGCTATTGTTAAATTATGTTAATCATGGCTATTTTGTGATTTATTACTGCAATATGAGCATGTTACTAATAAGGTTGCTATGCTTCAATACGGTAGTTTCCCTCTTGCATGAATCTGAAAGGTCAATTTGTTTTTCAGTTTTTACCTTTCAATTTCATCTCTTGAAGTTTGCTTTGCATCTAGAGATCCTATTAAATTCCTTTTTTTGCTATGAGAACATATGATTTTATGAATGTATATGAAACCATACGATATATGTTTTGTAGATCATGTCTTCTATCGTCAAAAGAGAATTTAATGAGCTCGCACTTGACGGTAGCAACTATTTGACTTGGGCTTTAGACATCGAGATTCATCTCGCGTCTAAAGAACTAAGCCAAACCATTGTTGCTGAGTCACAGTGTACAAACGTCCAGAAGGCCAAACTCTCATTTTCTTACGTCACCACTTGAACCACGACCTGAAAAATGAATACTTGACTGAAAAGGACCCTTTGGCATTATGGGAGTCCATGAAGGACCGCTTTAACCAGCAGTCATCGATTGTCCTCCCTCAAGCCCAATTTGACTGGCTTCACCTGAGGTTTCAGGACTATAAGTCAGTTATTGACTACAACTCGACCCTTCATAAGATAGTCTCGCAACTAAAGCTCTGCAAACAAGAAGTTTCAGAGACAGACTTAATTGAAAAGACTCTGTCTACCTTTCATGCGAGTAACCTTGTACTCCAGCAGCAGTACAGGGCAAAGAATTATGAAAAGCATTCTGATTTGATATCTGCACTTCTTGTGGCCGAGAAGCACAACCAATTGTTGATGAAAAACCATAATGCACGACCTGCTGGGTCTGCCCCCGCGCCTGAAGCACATCATATTACCCAGGGAAGCAATTCTAGAAGGGGTCGAGGAAAGGGTCGTGGTAGAGGTCACAGTCGAAACAATCGAAGTGGTAAAGGCAAAGGCAACAATGACTCCCGGGCCCAAGATAAGAAACAAAGTGATCAAGGTTCATCAAGGTCACAAACATGTTATCGGTGTGGATGTACGGGACACTGGTCTCGTACATGTCGTACACCAAAGCATCTGGTTGAAGCTTACAAAATGACGCAAAAGAAAAATGATAAGCAACCGTCAAGAAAGGAATCTCATCACACCAACACTGATTTGCCTGAAGCAAATGCAGTGATGAATGATGATGATGATCTTTTAAAATATGAGCTTGAAGACTTTGGTGATCAAGAATGATCTGTCTTATGCTCTTGGTTTATGAACCTATTTTTCGTATCGTTTTTTTTTGGATTATGAACTTATGTTTTTTTTTTTCATATCGTTTTATGACTTGATTTCTATGTTTTCTATTTTATCATGATGAATGGTTCATCTTTTTTTTTTTAACCTTCACATGCTATTTTTTGTACCAAGGCATTGGTTAATTAGTAACGAACAACCACTGTTCGAGAAGTAACCCCGAAGATCTTACAACATTACAAAGTTGTTGTTCGCACAATGGAGCATGAACCAACATTGTGTTTGGTGGATAGTGCAACCACGCATACTATCCTAACGGATATGAGGTTTTTTCGTACCTTAAACAAATCAAGTAGTAATATTACTACCATTTCTATTGATCAGGTACAAATAGTGGGCTCCGGAAGAGCATCCATCATCCTCCCTAAGGGTACAAAGCTACTAATTGAAAATGCTTTGTTGTACCCTCAATCTAAACGAACCTTGCTGAGTTTCAAGGATATTCGTTCAAATGGTTTCCATATTGAAACCAAGACTAAGAACAAAGAGGAGTTCTTGACCATGACTCAGTTGATCACTGGTCAAAAGCGGGAGGTTGAGGAACTTGCCTCTTTATCCTCTGGATTATATTATACCTATATACAACCCAATGATTCATTTGTGGCACTTACCATGAAACTAAAAAATCCACATTCTTTTCAAATGTGGCATGACCGTCTGGATCATCCTGGGCAGAATATGATGGGCCAGATCATATCTAATTCTGCTGGACATAACCTGTCTAGATCTCAGGTACTTTCGCCAAATATGTTTACATGTGTGGCTTGTGCGAAAGGTAAATATATTGTACGCCCGTCGTGTACTAAGGTTGGACATGAATCGCCTATATTTCTGCAGAGATTGCAGGGGACATTTGTGGACCTATTAGTCCACCTTCTGGACCATTTAGATATTTTATGGTCCTTATTGATGCTTCCACCCGTTGGACTCATGTTAGTCTACTGTCCACGAGGAACAAAGCTTTCGCTAAATTTGTTGCGAAAATTATTGAGTTGAATGCCCAATTCCCAGATTATCCCATTAAATCAATAAGAATGGATAATGCTGGAGAATTCACATCAACGGCTTTCAATGATTATTGTATGGCCTTGGGCATCAAAGTGGAGCATCCTGTACCTTATGTCCATACTCAGAATGGCTTGGCTGAGTCTCTGATTAAGCGTATTAAATTAATCGCTAGACCATTACTGCAGAAGTCTGGTTTACCAGTCTCATGTTGGGGACATGCAGTATTACATGCTGCAGCTTTAATTCAAATTTGACCTAGTGCATATCATGATTATTCCCCCTTGCAACTACTACGTGGTGTAGAACCTAACATTTCCCATCTGCGTGTATTTGGGTGTGCAGTTTATACCCCCATACCACCTACAAATCGTACCTCCATGGGCCCGCAACGAAAACTAGGTATATATGTTGGTTATGAATCTCCTTCCATCATTAAATACCTAGAGCCCATGACAGGAGATCAGTTTACCGCGAGGTACGCTGACTGCATTTTTTATGAAGATTATTTCCCGGCATTAGGGGGAGATAAAAGACCTTATTTAACGAAATGCCGAGAAATCTAATGGGATGAAAAGGATCTTCAGTATCTAGACCCACGTACTAGTCAAACTGAACTAGAAGTTCAGAAAATTATTAATTTGCAAAATTTAGCAAATAACCTGCCAGATGCTTTTACTGATAACAGAGGAGTGACTAGGTCCCATATCCCTGCTGTGAATGCTCCTTCGAGAGTTGAAGTCCCCGTGGGACCAAGTATGCACACTGACACTCCCCATCGCCAGAAGCGCGGGAGACCACTTGGTGCAAAAGATTTAAATCCACGGAAGACGAGAATTGGTAAAATATCTCAGTCACTCTAGAAAAATGTTAACCGTCCTGAAGACGACCGTCCCGAAGACGGAGAACCCAGTGAACCTGCACGTGCTCTAAATAATACGAACACTGGGAATGCGGAACATCCAGATCAAAATATTTTGGGAAATGACGATGATCTGGTTGATGTCAATATAGAAACGGCCATAAATTTTGTTGATACAGGAGAAACATATAACAGAGATTTAATAGTCGTCGACGACACTTTTGCCTATGCAGTTGCCTGTAATATTCCACAAAATAATCTGGATCCAAAACCAAAGTCAATAACTGAGTGCCGGAAGCGCTCTGACTGGTTGAAGTGGAAACAGGCAATTGAGGCAGAGCTCAACTCGCTTAATCAAAGAAAAGTTTTTGGTCCCACCGTACTTACCCCAAAAAATGTGATCCCAGTAGGATCCAGGTGGGTATTCGTACGGAAGAGGAATGAAAACAATGAGGTGGTTAGATATAAAGCGAGATTGGTAGCTCAGGGGTTCACGCAGAAACCCGGAATTGATTTTGATCAAACATACTCTCCTGTTATTGATGGCATCTCATTCCGCTATTTAATATCATTGGCAGTAAGTATGAAATTAGATATGCAGTTGATGGATGTAGTGACAGCTTACCTTTATGGGTCACTAGATGTTGATATATACATGAAAATACCCGAGGGTATTCAAAATTCCAATATGAGGGATAAAGATCGAAACATGTATAGCATCAAACTTCAAAGGTCATTATATGGCTTGAAGCAATCTGGTAGAATGTGGTATAACCATCTGAGTGAATTCCTCCTGAAGAAGGGATATGTTAAAAATGATATTTGCCCTTGTATATTCATTAAGAAGTCATCTAATGGCTTCTGCATTATATCTGTCTATGTCGAAGACATGAACATTATTGGAACAAAGGAAGACCTTATAGAAGCATGTTCATGCTTAAAAGCAGAATTTGAAATGAAAGACTTGGGAAAAACCAAGTTCTGCCTCGGCCTGCAGATCGAGCATCTTCCAAATGGAATTTTCATTCACCAAGCCAACTACATTAATAAATTATTGGAGAAATTCTATATGGATAAATCTCATCCCCTTAGCACCCCAATGGTGGTCCGATCCCTTGAAGCGGAAAAGGACCCATTTAGACCTAAGGAGGATAATGAGGAGGTTCTAGGACCTGAAGTTCCTTACCTAAGTGCTATTGGAGCCTTGCTTTACCTGGCTAATTGCACAAGGCCTGATATTGCCTTTTCAGTGAATTTACTTGCTAGATTTAGTGCATCTCCGACCAGAAGACATTGGAGTGGAATAAAGCATATCTTTAGATATCTCCAAGGGACAAAAGAGCTTGGTCTTTATTTTGAAAACAACCAGGACATTACTTTGAAAGGGTATTCAGACGCTGGTTATATGTCTGACCCTCATACTGCTAAATCGCAAACTGGTTATGTTTTTCTTTGTGGAGGTACAGCTATATCTTGGAGGTCCATTAAACAGACCTTAGTTGCTACCTCATCTAATCACTCGGAGATAATTGCTTTATATGAAACCGCACGCGAATGCGTATGGTTGAGATCACTGATACAGCATATTCATCGCTCATGCGGAACAATTAGCAATGTTGATTCCCCGACTGTCCTATATGAGGACAATGCGGCATGTGTTGCACAGATGAGTAACGGGTACGTTAAAGGAGGTCTTACTAAACATATTGCTCCTAAGTTCTTTTACCCATATTGAAAAGGTTCGCTCTAGTGAAAATCTGGCAGATTTGTTCACTAAGTCCCTGCCTACATCCACTTTTGAGAAGTATGTTTATAAAATTGGGATGCGGAGTCTAGGAAGACTGTTGTCTTCAGGGGGAGCGATAAACTCGGTCTAGGAGACTTTTAAATCCTGAAGATGATGCCCAGAAGGCTTATGGTTGTACTCTTTTTCCCTTAGCTAAGTTTTTTTTTTTTTCCACTGGGTTTTTCTTAGGCTAAGGTTTTTAACGAGGCAACCGATGCAACACATGATTGATACTACATGTACTCTTTTCCTTGACTAGGTTTTTCCCACAGGGTTTTTCTAGCGAGGTTTTTAACGATGCATGAGTATAATTATTTAATGGCCAAGGGGGAGTGTTGTAAATATTTATATTTATGGCCATTATACTATTTAGACCTTTCATTTGCTTATCATTTAATCATGTATTGATGTTGTGTACTTGAAAGGTTGTATATGACCACTATATAAAGTGAGTGAAGATGAATGAAAGGGACACACTTACATGATGGTTATACTATAACTTGGTGTTCTTCTCCTCCTCCTTTTTCTTCTCTTTACATATACAAACACACATACATATATATATATATATATATATATATATATATATATATATATATATATACGCAATTCCGGGTGTATAATTGTGCAAGCATCACGCGGGGACTAACGAGTGAAAAGGCCAAAACTTAACAGCAATAATTTTGTAGTTACTTTTTCATTCTATTCAAAATTTATTGATGATAGACTAGTGAGGGCTAAGGAGTTATTAAAAACCACTTCAGTAATAATCTTGTGTTGAGAGTGAGATTTAAACCCACGCCCTTTCAAACCAGAATCTTAATTTGGCGCCTTAGACCAACTCAGCCATCTCAACTCTATGTTAAAAAAGATATGCTATAGAATATTAATTGTCAAATTATGCTGTGAGGACTGAGGAGTTTTAAAAAACACAATCTTGTGTTGAGAGTGGGATTTGAACCCACGCCCTTTCGGACCAGAACCTTAATCTGGCGCCTTAGACCAACTCGGCCATCTCAACTCTATGTTGAAAAAGATATGCTATAGAATATTAATTGGCAAATTATGCTGTGAGCACGTGCCCACCTTGCAAGGTGGGCACGGTTTCGGCACGGTTTCATATATATAATTTCTATACTGTAAATTCATAATTTCTATATTGTAGATTCCTAAAATTTATACTTTAGATTCCAATTGTTGAACTCTGTTTTCAGAACTCAGAGAACTATATGTTCATAATTGATAACTATACAGTACATAAATTAGGAACCTACAGTACATATATTATGAATCTGTAGTATAAAAATTATGAATCTACTGTATAGAAATTATGAATCTACTATATTTAAATTATGAATTTACAATTTAGAAATTATGATTATGAATCTAAAGTATAAATTTTATGAATCTACATTATAGAAATTATGGATATGAAACTGTGTCATCCTTGCAAGGTAGGTCTGTGCTCACAACATAACGTTCCATATTAATCTTGATGATTTTGCATCTAGCAAGGCATATAAAAGTTTTCTTCCCTGATTAGTTTGGTATTTGTAAATTGTTAAAAAAAATTGACAAATTGCACCATGAACCAATTGTGATATGTCATGTCGCACCCTGTCCTTTCATATCTGCTGTTTCGAGGCATAAACTATAAAATTTTGTTCGTCTAGACTTTTTAGCAGGTAGCCATCAAGTTATAGGTTATAATATGCTGATGTGGAGGTGTTTTTTTTATTGACCAACATTTTTTACTTTTGCGCAACGTCTTTCTCCATTCATCAGTCCATCATTCCATCGGCGACTTGTCGACGACTCGACGTACAGAGGCGAATGATCAACTCCAACAAAGAATTGAGTATGGAAAAATTCCCAAGTATTGTTTGAGCTGTATGAGGATTGGGCATAGTCTGATTGAGAGTGGAGACCAAAAGCCTCCGCCTTTACCTTCACCGGGGCTCCTGTTGTCGAGAGAGTGATACAGAGAGAACATATCTGGAGAAGAACAGAGATATAAAGAGAGGCGTGAAGAAACTTGTGAATAGGTTTTGCTTTGACGTAGGGAAGGTACCAACCATCATCTTTCTCAAACCCACTAGTATATTGTTTGTATAAGAGAATCGGAGAATGAAGATCAACCAGAGAATGAAGGTCGTGAAACTTTCTAGCGATTTACAAAATGAGCTCCGTCGATGGCGTTGAAGATTAGTCGGATGGCCTTCAGTCCACATCAGCACATAGTCCTTGAAATGGATGTTGAATCTTAAAAATAAGTCCACATCAACACATAACAGTTGCCACGTCATCAAGGTAACCTAGAAACCTGCTAAAAAGTCTAGACGAACAAAATTTTATGGTTTATGTATCGAAATAGCAGATATGAAAGGTCAAGGTGACATATCACAATTGGTTCATGGTACAATTTGACACTTCAGCCATTTAATTTTACATTATTTTATATTAGTATTTTGTACTCATGCATTGAATTTAAAATTTAATTTTAAAATTTTATGTTAACTATGCATACGATATATGACACTTTTTTCTTTACCATGGCCTAACTTATAAAATGATAGGACCAACCCTAACCATATTATAAAGTTATCTTACTATATCCACAAATTCTTAAAATTTGATGTAATATTAATGTCACGTTATCATGTGATATCTTAAAATTTAATGTAATTTAAACAAAACGAGCTTATATAACATAATTATGTTCACATTGTATTGATTATCTTATATAACTTAAATAAAATGCATATTTATTAATCTCACATTCCTAAAAACCAAATAAAAACATAAATTTTCTAAAGTAATATGGGATTCCTAAATATATAACCTAAATTAAACTACATCCTAAAACTACCATGGACCCATTTGGAACTACTCACTTTTGGTGCCAAAGTAATTCTTCTTGATCTAGCATTATATTATGAGTCTTTAAGAATCGTTCATTGTATTGTGATCCTTTAAGAGTTGTTCATGGTTCTATAAATTTTGAGATATATGATAATTATACGGTTGTTGAATTCTCTAAATCCAAGCTTGAAGAAGCCATTACTTACGGAAAACGTTGCCAAAAACGTTCGCATTCCATTATTTGTTCCTACGGTCACTACAATGCCTTCCACAAAATTATACCTATGTGTACCCCAAGTAGACACCCAGGTATGAGCATAGTAGTCTTCTTTGATAAGCCAAGACGCCTCAATACGAAAATAAATCTTATCTCTTGAAGAAGCCTCTCCCACAAACCAAATAAATAGGATTGGATCATTAGCATAATGCAACTTGGGATAATTGATAGTTTTCACATATGGATAAGTCAATTGAGTTTTCATATTCAACAACGTTTTGTGAAGTCTCATATATTGAATGACTCTTCCATCTACATGTCTCAACCATGAAAACCTAGCCCCAAAAGATTTTAAACCAAATACCTTGGCTTATTTTATGCAAAAAACCAAGCTAAAACGTTGTTGGGCTACTCAAATGCTAGCTATTTGTGTGATCCCATAATGCCTGATCTAAAGCTGGTTATGCTTTCTTCTGTGGTGGTATTACTATTTCATGGAAGTATGTTAAACATATTATATTTATCACTCCTACAAAAGCACTCAGAGATTATTATTTTATATGAAACCACATAAAAGTGTGTATGGTTGAGATCATTGAAACAACACATTCATAGCTCGTGCGGCATAACAAGTGAATGGATTACCCATATTGTCTTATATGAGGACAATGCATCATGTGTTGCACAAATGAATATTACGTACATCGAGGGAAACTTGACAAGACATATAACACTGAAATTTTTCTTCCTATATATATGAGCTCTAGAAGAACGACGAAATTAACATACAAAAGGTTCGCTCTGGTGACAGTCTTGCATATTTGTTCACTAATAAATGTCTCCCTTCATCAACTTTTAAAAAAAATGTGTTCATAATATTTGAATGCACAAACTTAGAAGATTTTTATCTTTAGGGGAGAAACATTTTATAATCAATCTTGAATATTGGGCCTTGAAGGGAAGCAATTGTAGTCTTTTTTCCTTTGATTATGTATTGACATACTTCTTTTTTTTTTCTTTTTTAAATGAGGCAACTAGTGTGGCACATGGATACGCATATATCATGTACTATTTTCCTCAACTCGATTTTTCGGATAAGATTTTTCTAGTGTTTTTAACGAGACATGGGTATGAGATAATAATATCCAAGGGGAGTGTTATACATATAATATACGTGAATATTACGAATGACTTTTTATCAGAACCCTAAGAACATTGTATATATTGAGTTTGATATATAATACGAGTAATAAAGTAGTTATTGATTCTCTCACTTTCTCTACTTCCTGTCTTTTACTTCTATACTTATAATATTGAATAAATTACAATTTCGGTCATGTGACTATTGGGCTTTTGTTAATTGCAATCCACAACTTTCAAAATTGTTAATTTAGTACCTTAACTATTCAATTTTTATCAATTTTGATAACTCTGACCAAATTAATTATCGGTTAAAACTCACCAAAAATTTTTAATAGTTAAAATAGTGAGTGTATTTTAAAATTTTTGCATCTCTTTTCTTTTTCCTCCATTTCTTCGCCGAATTTGCTGCAAATTCGCACCTTGAATTTGCAGTAGATCCGGCGAAGAAATGCGGTAGAAAAAAAAAGAGATGTAAAAAGACTAAAATACTGTCACTATTTTAACTATTAAATTTTTTTTGGTGAGTTTTAGTTGATAATATGGCCGGAGTGATTAAAAATGATAAAAATTGAATAGTTTAGGTACTAAATTAATAATTTTGAAAGTTGTGGATTGCAATTAACAAAACCCCACTAATCACATGACCAAAATTATAATTTACTCGAAAATATTGCTATTGTTGATTCTGTCCGGAAAAGAAGCCATTCACACGGGGTGCATCACAATTTGCAACATAGGTCTTATTTGATAACATTTTTTTTTTGAAAGTTACTGGCTCTATTACATTGTAGTATCTGTTCATATACTTTCTCAACCTACTAAAACACAAAGAACCAATAACGCCTCCACTGAGGCTTGAACTCATAATCTTCCAAATGGAAGTCCAACCCGGATACCATTAGACCACATAGTCCTGGTCTTGTTTGATAACATAGTTAGCCTATTAGTCAATTTTAACTTATTTAATCACTATTATCTGTTTGACTTGATTAAACATTCAATATAAGTGTTTGATTAATTAGTTTTCTGTAACAATTTATAGCTTCAAAATGCTAAAATTCAAAAAAGATGCTCAAAGTAGTTTTTTTTTTTTCGATAAACTTTTTGAGAAAATCACTTTACATGTAATTAGCTGTCAGCTAATAACTAATTTACCAAACATCTTTTTACAATCATCTAATGTTTTCAACTAATCAAATTTATTAATTCAATTAGCTAACAATTAATAGCTAATAGCTATTTACCAATTTAGTTTGATTATTTCACAAATTGGCATTTTGATTTTGATAAATTGAAAATTTAATTAAAAAGTAACTCCGTACAAAAGATTAAACCGGAATTTTGAAAGATGGAGGGTTGTGAGTTGTGACCCTAAAACAGATCTGAATTCTATAGATGGGACACGTGTACGGTGTGGAAGTAAGGTGCATGTAAGGAAAGTAAACCTCATCAACACAGCATACGCCAGTGTAATCCTCTCTAAAAACCCTAGAATACCTTAGGGCTAGCAGAATATAGCAGGGCCGATTCTCTCTCTCAGCCGCACGCCCCCATCGACCCCCGGAACCTTTTCAGCGGAGCTCAACAATGGTAATCTCTCTCTCTCTCGCGCTAAACCTCTACGTTGTGTGACATTCCTTTATGCATCTCGCTTCATGTTTCGTCTCTGCAGGGTATCGATCTCAAAGCCGGCGGTAAGAGCAAGCAGACGAAGCGCACTGCGCCGAAATCTGACGATGTTTACTTGAAGCTTCTCGTGAAGGTTTGATTCAAGCCCTCTGTAATTATTATGTGTCTTCTCTATATCTACAAATGTACAGTTAAGTTTAGCTGTGTGTATAGTTGTTATGTGAAGCTTGCAATAATTGGTTGATTGGTTGCAGCTGTACCGGTTTTTGGTGCGAAGGACCGGAAGCAAGTTCAATGCTGTGATTCTGAAGCGTCTCTTCATGAGCAAGACCAACAAGCCTCCGGTTTCACTCTCCAGGCTCATCACTTTCATGTCTGGAAAGGTATTTCCTCACATTTTTTTTGAATTATTTGTTTTGTGTGTGTTTGTATAGTTTTATATATGCTGTTGTTTGGTTTGAGATGTTGATTAGTTTTTGGATGGTGGTTATAGGAGGACAAAATTGCTGTGTTAGTGGGCACTATTACAGATGATGTTAGGGCATATGAAGTCCCAGCATTGAAAGTTTGTGCACTGAGGTTCACCAAAACTGCAAGGGCAAGGATTGAAAAAGCTGGTGGAGAATGCCTGACATTTGATCAGTTGGCTCTTAGGGCTCCATTGGGACAGAACACGGTATTGAATCTAACAACATTTTATCATTTGCGTTTATTACCATTTTCTAGAAGCTTCAAGATTTAACTGTTGGTTTATATTCTGTGCTAGTGTGGTGCCTGGTGCCTACTTACCATTCGTGTTATTTGTTTGACTAGCAGATGAGTTCTGTAGTGTAGACTATCAATGTTTTCAAATGAACTTTGCTGTTATGTGAAATGAAAAATAGAGAGATGAACTGTGGTGCTTGTATGCCAATGTTTTTATAAAATTGAGAAATTTGTGGGTTTTACCCTGGTTAATAATTCCAATTAGGTTTAATGAGTCTAATTTTTAGTAAAGAGGTGGGTGTTCTACCATCTTTTCCTATAATTTAGATAAGAGAATATCTCCCATGACATTATTTTTAATAATCTGATGCATTATTCCAATGGATGTTGTATATGTTATTGCAGAAAATGAATAATTCAATACAATGACCGTTGTTTACCATTTGGTAGTTGACACAACACTTCTTTAGCCATAGTTAGAGCAATGAAGCTAAGGCTTGTGATTCAACAAATATCACATAAAACCATCTTTTATGTGCTTTGTACATGGGAAATCTCACAATTGATCTGCTGGTAGTTTTCCTGTTTGTGGGGTTTATCTACAATATTATCTTAACATTCAGCGCAGCCCTTAAGATCGCTTTCCACATGTCCATTGGAAGTGTTTTGAGTCAAAGCTACGCTATATCAACTTGAATATATACTAAAACACCCGTGGATCCTTTACACAAGGAGAAAAAAAGGAAATCAGGACACAAATAAAAATGGGAGCATAATTTCAGATTACAAATAAAACATAAGTTATGGGATATTAGCAGGGAATCAGGGGAGGATATTAGGAGGGAAATAGGGGAGGATATTATGCTATTTATTTTCCTATATAATATAAGATATTATAAATAGGGGAATCTTTGTGTTGAGGACCGTATTAATTGGAAAATAATAAAAGCTAGTTATAGCTGGGCAATAACTTTTTTATTGGAGGATATTTTATATATCCTGTTTTTTGTTTTAAATTTGATTTAATTCTCCTTTGTTCTTTCCTCAACCGCTCTATGTATAGTACTATATGGTTGCTTACAACGAAAACAAAGTCCTTTGACCGTCATGTCCATATACTCGGTGGTCCACCGCGAGTATATGGACATGAGGGTCGAATGACTTTGTTTTCGTGGTTAGCAACCATATGGTCTTATGCATAATTTGTTGGTTGAGGAAGGAACAAAGGAGAATTGAATTTAAAACAAGAAACAATGATATATAAAATATCCTCTAGCAAGAAAAAGGTTCTTGCCCAACTATAACTAGCTTTTATTTTTCGATTACTAGTGTCTGCCTCAACATCAAGGAAGACTCCCTATTTATAATATCTTATATCCTATAGGAAAGTAAATAGCATAATATCCTCCCTTGCTAATATCCCATGACTTATGCCTTATTTGTAATCTGAAATTATGTTGCTTGATTGATTCCCATTTTCATTTGTCCCTTGATTTCCTTTCTTTCTCTATGAGCAAACAATCCACTACTGTTTTTATCACAGCCACATGTATATAATATTATAATTACTTGTGGTTGTAGTATATATTGGGATTCTCTCTAGGGTTTTCCTTTTCCCCCACTTTTTTGTCATAGGGTCATTTCCTTTCTTTTTGATATGTTTCCACTTGTGGATTCTGATTCAAAAAGTTGATTCATAATGACACTATTGAAAGTGGGATACATACAGTTTTTGGAGTTGAATATTTTTGTTTCTTTTTAATAGGTCGGTTATTGAGTTCATTCGGTTGAGATGTTTGATAAATTGTGAAGTTAGTAAAGCTTCTAGTTCAGTTTTTATTCTTGTGCATGGCACGAATGATGAGGTGATTAGATGGGTGAGAGGCAAATGCCTCAATGAACTGAATTTACGAGGCTTATTGATATTCTGACATGCCATCTTTCAAGTAAAATTTCCATACTGTTTTCTTCATGTTTCCTTGTTGATTAGTTGATTTTCTGAAAACCATTGCCAATTTCATTGAAAATTTTGTCAGCATTCCATGAATTTTAGGAGTGATAGTAATGCTGATTTTTGGTCCATTATCATGGCTTTTGTGCAGGTTTTGCTGAGAGGTCCAAAGAATGCACGTGAAGCAGTTAAACACTTTGGTCCGGCTCCTGGTGTTCCTCACAGTCACACCAAACCGTATGTGCGTGCCAAGGGAAGAAAGTTTGAGAGGGCTAGGGGTAAAAGAAACAGCAGGGGATACAAGGTTTAGTTTTATATATCAATATCCGAGGAACTACCTATTTATGATTTGTATTGTGGACTTCAAATTTTGCAAGACAAGTATGAGTTTCTCTACGTAGGGTTCTTCCATCTCTTTGAATGGATCATCTTAAATTGTTGCTGAATGCAAGATTTGTTCAATTCAAGTTTAGAAATTTGATTTTAGGCCCTACTACTGTGTGCTGTACTTTTGCATTATTTTACAATTCTCACGAAAAATGAGCTTCTTTTTGTCCAAATACTACCTACCTCCATAGCATTTATCTACATCCTATATATTGGGGTCTGCAATTTGAATGAATGCGCCTATAGTTATCGAGTATAGATGTATCGTAGTATTTTCCTTTGTTTTTCAGCTTAATTGTTATATTATATTATATATTGTACATAAATATGAGTTGAGGTATGATGAGCCATCTAAAAAGTTGGGAGAAAGTTTAAAAAATGGCCAAATATCTTTTGAGAGACAAAATTACTACAGAGATCTCACTCTGAACAATGTATAGTAGTATATACAGTGTGCTGAAGAACTACTATACAGTGTGCTGAAGAAAAAAAGTTGTGTAGTGGAACTGGCGTAGCCGAATGTTTTAATTCTCGGCTAAATTTTAACCTAAAAGGTAAGTAGTAAGGTGTGAGCTTGAATAGTTAGGTTAGGTAAGGTGTGAGCTTGAATAGTTAGGTTAGGTAAGGTGTAAGCTTGAATAGTTGTAGAGCTAGCTTAATATGAGTGAGTTAAATCCCCGCAGAAGCCTTTGACGGTTCGGCCAGAGATGGAGTTGGAGCCGGAGAAGGAGAGATACTAATAAAAGGTGCCAAAGATGGACTTGGAGCTGGAGAAGGAAAAGGTGCTAGAGATGGAGTTGGAGCCGGAGAAGGAGAGATACTAATTGAAGGTGCCAGAGATGGAGTTGGAGCCGGAGAAGGAGAGATACTAATTGAAGGTGCCAAAGATGGACTTGGAGCTGGAGAAGGAGAAGGTGCTAGAGATGGAGTTGGAGCCGGGGAAGGAGAGATACTAATTGAAAGTGGAGGTGGACGAGAAACATAAGCCTCCTTCTCTTTATCGCCTATATCTTTGAAATCATCGTCGTCTAAATCGGAGTACTTGATGGATTTGTCCTTCTTTGGTAGCGGGTAAATGAAGCCAGCATTGTAAGGAACCTCCTTCTTCTTAATCCAAGTATTGCCGGTGATGAATTTTCCGGGAGTGAACCGTTTGATTTGGCTTGCAGGAAGCTCCTTGATTCCATGCCAAGTCACCCGCTTGGATTTAGAAGCACCGGGTCCTCTGTTGTTGAACTCTGAGTAGAAGAGGGTTTGGAACGCAAAATCCTCGTCCCATGGCAACCACCCCTCCGGCTGAATGAAATCCGGGATGAAGGATTCCATGATAATGGTTCTTGAGTACTCCTTCCAGGGGCGGCCCAGGTACGATTTCACCTTGAACTTCACTAGGCCATAATCTGGATCTGCCACAATGGTGCAGTTCTGCAGGACAAGCCCTGTGGGCTGGTGCGGGTCCTTTCGCCCCTGCGCCGTCACAATGTTCTGCTGCTTTTCCAGTGGCTTCCGGACCACAATGGTGCAGTTCTGGAACACGGCCGCACTGTCCCCAAAGATGAAATCAATGGTGCCGGAGATCTCACAGTTGCGGTAGAATTGGCGGTAAGTGTGCGCGTAGAGTGTGTCTTGGTACCCATCCATCCTGCAGTTATAGAAGATGGTTTTATCAGCCCCCACCCTCAACGCCACCGCCTGGTGCTTCTCCGCCCCTGCAGAGTTCTCGAACCCGATGTCCCTAGCCATGAAAAAGTCACCAACAACAACAACGGTAGCAGTGTGAAGCGTGGAAACCCCGTCGATGAAATTCAACCCTCCGGTGATTTTCGTCTTGGTTGGACCATCACCCACCACCACCAGATTAGTGAGGTTACGGAAAAAGGTAACCTGCTCTTCATAAACACCCTCTTTGATGTACAACACAAAAGTTTCGTCACTTTTGGTAGGAATATTCTTTAATGCATCATTAATGCTGGTGTAATTTCCGGATCCATCTTTTGCCACAACGAGATCTGGTTCAATCTCTTTGAGACTGGCCTTAAGAAGCCTGCGCCTTCCTGAGCTGAGCCAACCCGGGAAGTCTTGTAATTGGGCGGGGGAAAGAAGATGGCTAATACTATCTTGGTTGTAGGGTGATGGGGCCTCGGCACCATGTCCGGTTCCAAAACTGATAAAAACGTCAGAGAGTTGGGTAACAATAGCCAAGGCATTGCTAGTAAGTTGCATGGATTTGGTCAAAATCTCCCTCATTTTGTTATCATCATTTCCAGGGATTTCCTGGAAGCCAGAGATGCAAGTTTCCTGATAGGTAAGAGAGCCACTGAGCCATGCCTTGAGATCTGCCAGCCAACTATCCATATCTATATGGTCAAAGTTCCCGAACTTCACCCGTGTCCTTTGAAGATCACGTATCGCCTTCTGAGCCAGCTCCTGGCAATCCTCCAAAGCCATCTTCGACCTCGGGTTGTCCTTAAGATTCACCAAAAGCTCCGATTTCCCCATCGACTTGCGAAGGTCATCGATGGTTACATTAAACGCCGCCATGATAAGCTCATTGGGGTCTCCAGAATTTGCAGCCCTTGAAGACGACAGACTATCCACACATGTTTGTTTATACATAGTAGGCTGGCACACGGTATCAATGGCTTTCTGGGAGGCCGTCATCATTTCTACTGTTTCGTCTTGATATTGGCTCCCTATCACGATGGCGACCACCATGGCAACAAGGAGCACAGAACTCATGACAAGGACGACAATCTTCCTGCCCTGGTTGCCATCTTCTTCCATTGTTGTTTCAATCGAGAAGGGCCGGCCGGGAGAAGGACGGGATTGAACCGGCCTTAGCCTCCCTTCTTCTCAGAGGTTGGTGAACAAGTCTTATAGCATTTTTTATTTTTTTTCTTTTTGAGAGGAGTCTTATAGCATTTTTAATTGATTATTTCGGGAGATTAGAGGTTTGGAATGAAAGGAGATAGATCATAGATGTATGATGCTTAGCTTGTTTCACTATTCTCCACCCAAATTTATTTGGGTCATAAACATCATAAACACCAAACCAATCTAATATAGTATCCTAGTACGTAAATATATGTTAGTTTATGGATTACATTAATTTATTTATTGTCTATAGGGGTTAGCATGCATGGTGCAAATTAAATATCCCGATATTCTTGTAATGTTATTATTTCAAGTGTTATGCATTGGCTATTTTTTTTTTTTTTTTTGAATTATATATAAGTTTGAGATCGATGGGCGGTAATATATATGGTATATCCAGTCCAACGACCAACCATTTGAACTTTAATTGGCAATATTTTTAAACCTTGGTTACGTTATATTTCATCTTTTCAACAAGTAATGAAAATAATAGTCATATTGTCCTGATAGAGAGAAAAATCTATAATATAATATAAAATATATATGTATTTTAAGGATTCCAATTTAGGGTTTGGGACGGCCGGGGTGTAGCCCCATCCCCGTTCCTGCCCGCCCCCGTCAGGGCAAGGACCAAGTTTTTCAATTGAGATTGAGTTGAGTTGCAATCCTTTGTTCAATTTTCTCCATAAAATGGCACAGGAGTTTGGAACGTTATGCTGTGAGCACATGCCCACCTTGCAAGGTGGGCATGGTTCCATATCCATACTTTCTATATATATATTGTAGATTCATAAAATTTATACTTTAGATTCATTATTTAAATATAGTAGATTCATAATATTTATATATTGCAGATTCGTAGTTTCTGTATTGTAAATTCATAATTTTTAAAGTGTATAGTTATCAAATTATGTCTCTAATTTGTAAAAACAGAGTTCAACAATTGGAATCTAAAATATAAATTTTATGAATCTACAGTAACAAAATTATGGATATACAGTATAGAAATTATGGATATACAATCATGTCCGGCACGTGCTCACAGCATCATTTGCCCAGGCGTTTACTGTATTGCTTGCTTCGTGTGGTTTTGTATTTTGAAAATATTGAAAAAAAAGGGATAAGTTGCAACTGAACACAACATGCTATATATTGCACATTAATTTTTAAATATGTATTACTTATACATGTTGCCTTTAATTTGTATTCATTATATATATATATAAGCTTAAACAAGAGCAAGAGATATATATACTACAATAATTTTCTAAAACTAATAATATATTTTCAGTCTATATTATATTATATTATATAAAAGTAAAACTAATTACAGTTTAATTACTGAGACCAGCAGAGAACCTAACTCCGGTGGCCGGCAACCATGACATGCCATCAATGAATCGCTGAACGGTGAAGAAATTCGCCGCCGACGCATCCTTCATAACGTGATAACCGGGCCAGCGAACCCGCCCAGACAACGAAGCCCCCGGCCCGTAATTCCTATACTCACCAAACCACAACGTCTTCAAAGCAAAGTCTCCATACCACTCCAACCACCCTCTGGGCTGGACCATTCCACTCATGAATGTATTGATGAACACCGTCCGGGAGAACTGTTTCCATGGCCGGCCTAAATAGGTCGGCCTGGAGGCGTAGACGAAGCTGTCTTGGATGGAGAAGCCGGTGTTCTGGTCTGGGCTTTTGCGGCCTTGGGCGGTTATGGTGACCTTCTGGAGGGGGAGTGGCTCCCGGGTGAAGATCTTGCACTTCTGCAGCACGGCGGCGCCGTTGCCGAAGATGAAGTCGATGGTGCCGTGGATGGTGCACTCGCGGAAGAACTGGCGGAGGGAGTGGGCGTAGAGGGTGTCCTGGTACCCCTCCATGCTGCACCGGAAAAATGCGGATTGATCGGAGTCCACCCGGAGTGCCACCGCCTGGAAGTTCTGGGGGCCGGCTGTGTTCCGGAATGTCATGTCTCTTGCTATGAAACCCCTCCCGGAAACAGCTACACGCGCGCGCGTGCGTACAATATTTAATCTTTATTAGAGAATGGATTTAGGGAAATGAATGGATAAATAGGCCCCAACTTTTGTACTCAAACTTATTTTCAACTTTTAAAAGTTGTAATTAAATTGATCATTAGATGTTATTTTCTTGCATCAAATTTCAAAAATAAACGATTAATGACATGTAATAGCAGGTCACTAGGATTTCGACAAGACTCTGGCAAACTATTAAACCTAACGACTAAGGAATGATAGCCAATTGCTTTTGAAGAAGGTGACCCGCATGCAAGTCGCCTTCTTGAAAGGCAATCGGCTACCGTTCGTCAATCGCCGTTGCTGCTGAGTTTAATCATGTAGCGTTGTTGGAGTTTATCAGAGTCTCGTCGGAATCCAAATGATCAGCTATTACAAAGTCATTAATGAATTTTTAAATTTCCATACATGAAAATAGTATTTGAAGTTCAAGGGCCTAATTGCCCTTTCGAAAAAGTCCAGGACCTATTTAACTCTTTTCTCTTTAAAAATTTAAAGGCTTTCTGTATAAAGTTCAATAACCTATATGAGGTAGACTTTTTTTCAGGAATTTATAAATAAAAAGTGTGAGATGAAAGATAAAAATGTTATCTTACCAAGTGTTGCAGTTCGAAATGTGGTCCAACCTTGCATGAAATTTCTATTACCGGTGATAATAGTGGCTCCAATTCCATCTCCCACCAGCATGATATTAGTCTTCTTCTTCTTCATATCAACATTCTCGTGATAAATCCCTCTCTTCACGTAGATCACATACCTCCTCCTGCTATAGCTCGGAGCCTCCAACACCGCCTGCGCCACCGACCGGTAATGCCCGCTGCCGTCCAACGCCACAACCGCGTCCACGTGCATCCTCTCCGGCTCCGAAACCGCCATCTCCATCTCACCCGCCGTCATCCAGCTCGGAAAATCCCCCGCCGCCTCATCCTCGGCGGTCCGGTTTCTCGGCGGCCTGAAGGGCAAGCTATGCAACTGGACGTAGAGCGTCAGCACGTTGCTAATCAGCTGCGTCACTTGAACCAAACTTCCCCTGATGAAGCTCTCCAGGCGCCGGTCCGTGCCCTCGAACCCCTCCAAGCACGTGTCCTGGTTGTAGGGGTGTTAGTGAACAGAGCTTGTAAACATGAACGTGAATCACTACTGGAAATTATGAAATTTCCGACCACCTAAAAGTGATCTTTAAATCAAGTGGAAAGTCTTGTTTCTACCACTTTTGATATATGGAAAAACCTTTGTTGCTATTTCCGACCACTTTTTACTTTCAACTTGATTTAAGATCACTTTCAGGTGATCAGAAATTCCATAATTTTCAGGAATGAACATATTCACGAACGTGTTCACAAATGTTAAAGAGTGAACGTGTTTGTGAACGTTAACAAACTAACAGAACGCTTAGTAAACGAACAGCAATGAAATTTTCAAAAACCTTAACAAACAAACATGAACACGATCATTTTAAAAATTTTAACAAACAAACACGAATAGCCTCTGTTCGTTTATGTTCAGTTCATTAACAGCCCTACCTGGTTGCTCAGGGCGGCGCTCAGCCAGGCCTTAAGGTTCCCCTCGTAGTGGAAGTTCTTGATTCCGGCTCGGATCTCCCGCATCTCCGCCAGCGACCAGGCGAGCTCCGTGACGGAGAAATCGAGAAGCTCTTGGCAGTCTCCGATGGCCATTTGCTCCCTGGGAGACACCGAGAAAGTGTTGAACTTGGTGAGGGCGTCAATGGCGAGCCTGGCCTCACTGAGGGAGTTCTGAATGGCTGCTCTGAGGATGGAGGTTGGGTCGCGGTGGCCGCCGTCGCTTTCGACCCGGGATCGTATGCCCTCCAGGCAGGAACCTCGGTTTTGTATGTTGTCGCAGGCCCGAGTGATGAGGTCCTCGGAGGTGTGGGATTGATGGATGGGGATAACGACTTGATTGGGGGAGAGGGCTTGGAAGGAGGGTAAAAGAATGAGAAGAAGGAGGAGAAAAGGTGGAAATGCCATTGATGGGATTGCATGCAAATGGGGAATGATTGAAGGGGGGAATATAAAAGGTATTATGGAGAAGTTTTAGAGGGCAAGGGAAATGAATGTTATGGGAATATAATGGTTTGTTGCCAAAGTTGAAGTTATGCTTCCTTGTATTGTGTGACATGGTATAAAATTCCTTCCACACTGTATGTGTTGTTAATTTCCTTAGCAAGCAAGCAGCAAGCTAACTAAGGTTGTTTGTTGATGCATACAAATTAAATTAAGAATAATCTTTACATTTACTCATTAATTAACGGTCTAATGTAGCATTTTCAATTACTTCTCACTTTTGTAAGTTTGTAGGTTTTTTTTTTTTTTTTTAAAGGTTAATATTTAATATTTTAATATTATATTAAATAGTTAATATAATATAGTTTATAATTATCAAGTCTTAAAAAATTTAAAAATTTTAAACAAATTTTTAAAAAAATAAAAAATACACTGGCGCCTAGGTGCCGATTAATCGCCGCCTTGGTGCCTAGCGATTTTTTTTAACCATGAGTTGACCGGCTCTTGTACGTTCTTTTTTATTATTAATACAAAGTAGATGTAGATATGACACTCAACCCTTTCGTGGTGAACATCTTTACTTTAGACTCATTTCAGTTTTCTTTGAACCTTATTGAGCACCATGTAGATAATATACCCAACTTAACATCCTAACTCCATGCCACCTAAGAAGTTAGTTTAAGGTAGAGTGTGGTTGGGTGCCTCACAATCTCTTGTAGAGCTGATGTTAGATTGTAACTTTTTTTTTTTTTTTTTTTTTTTTTTTTTTACTTATTCTTTTGTAACGTAACTTTCAACTGGTTTGTGATAATTAGAGAGTATAAAATGGAGTCAAACTATTTAGAATTTAAAATATTCTTCCTTTTCAATCCATGGGATTGACCAATTCATAACCTATCTAAACTTAAAAATCATGTTTCAAATGAATCAATGATAAATTCTAAACTTGAAAATCACTACAGCTTCTTGCTTATTTGTGTTGTTTTTGTTTCTTATGTTGTAAGGCAAAGGGTGTAGATAGAATCTATCCAAGAGCTTGTAGAATCCAGCCACGTTATAGCTAAATACAGAAAGGTGAAAGCATCTTACTCACACGATCTCAATTCTCAAGTAAAGAATTTTAACTAACAAAAATGCATATATAAAGTCAAGATGCATGCAATGCACACTTTAATTTGGACAAG